TCAACAAAGAGAAGTGAATCACAAAGGATCCGAGAAAGGAGGAGAAGTAAATCTTGTCTTATCTAGTTTTCTCTTACGCAAAGGTCTAGAAAAATTCAAACTTTTTTTTTTTATCAATCATCGTTTGATATTAGCCTCAGTTTATAATTCAAATCACGTTTCGGTAAAACAACGACTTTCGCATATATCGCTTTAAGCCTTAACGCCGGTTCATCGCTCGAATAACATTTCCTATTGTTCGTACTCCTGAAGCTATTTCTTGTCCTATCGTTTGGAATCTTTAATACAGACGTGGTGTTAAGGAAAAAGAAGTTATCTTACGGAATATGTTTTGCCTAGAAAGTTTTCAAATGATACCGAACGGCGTCAGCAAGTTTCTATCATTCACTCTTTAGTTAACTATCGCGGGGCTTTCCTTATTTTCAAAAAAAAATCGCGCTTTATCGAAGATGTATTGTTTTACTGTAATAAGGAAGTAGTGGCCTTTCCCAAAATTTAAATAAAATTAGATCGAATCAGCGATGTTTAAGTTTACGTTAAGTCTGACGCAGTAATTTGATTTTAACTCAGCTAACTCCATTTTACCCGTGAGTTTGATATCACTCAAGGTAGTGTGGATGCATTTCTGTTGGTATAACTATTGTAAATACAGTATCAAGTAGTGACAAAAATTAATGATTTCCTGTGGGCGAGAATGTTTGGGAGAAGTTATGGTGGTAATTGATCCTCTTTTTGCTAGGATGCATAGGGTTTGATGATTATAATGTGCATCTTCTAGTTTTCAAAATTTAAATTTTGTATTATTTGTAACTGTTTACCATATAAATTTCTCTGTTCCTCAAGACCTCAAAAGTTTAAAAGGATGAGTCTATTTCCCCAACCCCCTCCCCATACCCCGAACTGGTCCCTAAATCCCCTCGACGAAACTCTTCTACAGCCAGTGCTGAAGAGTTTTATTACAGTCTTGGCGAAACCTATATTAACATTTTTTTATGTGTGGATAACACTCCTGTTTCTACAACACTCTAAATCCTCGACAACACCCCTCCACCATTCAATGATGCCTGTAGGGAGCTATCACGATAGACATTGCTTAGTTTTGCGTTATATTCTTTTTGTTTTGTTTCGTTTTCTTTTTATGAGGTTGGGGGAGGAAAGGAAGGGGGGTTTGTGGGGTGAATACTTTAACTTAAAATTAACATTGAAGTAATAGAGGGTTAAAAAGGCCAACGAGTGAACAATTTTCACACCGACTGTAGTTACAGTAAAAACAAAACACCTCTCGTTTGATGCTTCAATCGGTAATAGAGAACGAAAGTGTGAAATCGATATTTATTAGTCAACGAACGACCTTTAAGTTATCTTCATGAGAAAAGTGTTTATAAATGGGATTACCATTTTGCTGTAGCAAGTGGAGTGGACAAATTTCTTAATGATGCGATCTTCAGCTGGCATTTTTCTCTGTGGCTAATTGGGGCTTGTCTTAATAACCGTGGTTCATAGGGCTGTGCCACACCTCAGCCACTGGCCTAACACTCTATAGCTGGAGGGTAGTTGAGTGTCAAAACATGACTATAGGGGAAAGGGCTCAGTTGACTTTTGCGAAAAGCTGGTGGTTGGGTATTTTGCTTGAAGACAGGCATCACCCGCCTTTAAGCCGGCATCAACGTGATACCGATCGAACTTCAAAGCTCAACCGGAATCGGAAACCACATCAAGAGGAACGCAATATGGAGCCAATGAACCTCAAAGACCATTTTACCATCTCAACCTATACAGGAGAAAACTTAACTGCCTGACATATGAAAGGCCATATACCGGACATCTTAAGCTAGTAGTCAATACTCAATCAGAGAAAAACTGTGTGTTTAATAAACATGATTTTCTAATAGTCAAATGTTTCGTCACTTAAAGTATTTTGCCATCTTGTGCGCATGACTGTAGATCCTTTTATGATGCAAAAAGTAAGTTACACTTCCAATCGACTATGATATCCGACGATGATGAAACCTCCTTCATTTCGTTTGATAATTTTTTGATGGAAATATTCCCTCAAGCCTTACTTATAAGATACAATTACCTAAAAGAAAAACATTTAATAATATCCACGCTTTAAAGAAAAGAAAACTAGGCTAACTTATAAAATAAGACATCTCTGCATTTAGGGACGATCTTTTGCTTTTTTTTCCGAATCACGCACCAAAGAATTCATCATTGATAACAAGAGGTCAATTAAGTCATTTTCCTCTTTCAAATAATCAGCCTCCATGTATTCTGTTCGACGAGCGAGGACAATTAGTCTTTTTTCAATTTTAAGCATTCGCTCCTCTGTACATTGGATAATACTTTCAGAATTTAAACAGAATGGCTCTGCTTCAGAAAGGCACATGTTGGCGAATGTTGTCTCATCGCAAAACAACTTAAACTCAGTTCGATTACTTCCCTCGTGGAAAATGTCCATTAAACGCTCCTCAATAAAACGTGCCATTTCAAGCTCTTTTGCATTTTCCTCTGCGTTTGTTTTTGCGTCACCGTATGATTCATTGAGGACAGAAACAAGCATATTCATAAGAAATATAGTTGTGGATATACAAAACAAAAACGCAAACGTCGGACCAATGAAGGGTTTGTCCCTTCGAAGAGCGTCCATTGGGACTGCTTTTCCTAACAGGAATTCGAATTGAGACATGACTGCGTTGAGGTAACTAGAATACTCTAATACTACTCCACCAAAAAGTTGCATACCCGTTACAACAAATGCATTGAACACGATCAGAAAAAAGAGCACATACGAGAGTTGATAGCCTATGGATTGCCGAAAAGATGAAAACAAGTATATTACGTGTGGGTTAAAACGAATAAGATTTAGTAGCTTGACTGTTACCATAAAAACAGCCGTAGCAATAGACGCATTTTCTAGGTTAAGCCAATTTAAGGCTGTGTGGAAATGCACGATTTCATATGGATTGGCTTGAATAGATTTGATAGTGTTCAAAACGCTTTTAGCTCTGATCATGTAAAATGCTACAGAGGCTACACAGAAAATTATCATAAAGAAATCCACCATGTTCCAAACAGACTTGAAGAAACCTAGGCGTTGTTGATAAAGGTGAACTAACATAACTATGAAGTAAAAGAGGACCATTGCCATGAACAGAAACTGGCCAATTAAGAAAAACATCAGAGCTCCTGACTCAGTGCTGTACAACTCCAGTGTTTCAATTCTCCTTGTAGTGTAGGCTGCACCAGTAGCTAAGGCCTCGTAAAAGTATGTGGCAACGCTAATCAAGTTTGTATTGATATTGAAAACGGCAAACTCTAGAATTACAACTCGAGTCTGGCGATCAAGCCAACCAAGGCCAATAGTTTCGTCGAGGACACCTTGTGCAGTGGTTTCGTCATATCCCATAACAGCTGCATAACCACCCCCTTCATATGAATTGTATGCCGCCTGGATAGGATGGTTGCGAAGTTCTGCTGCTGATTGGTATCGCCAAGGTTTTGGGCACATTTCTAAAGCATTTGGCCACGATGAGTTGAAGGAAAGAGGCCTCCAGCCGGGAAGGCTTAGGAAAGTAGTGTCCTCACTATCTGAGGAGTAGTCGTGATAGCAAGTTGAGACGATTTTAGGATGGGATTCGCAGGAACCTTGAAGGTAAAAAACAAAGACAGAAATTAAAACCTCTAGTTTCCATTGATGATGTTAAGGTGAAAAGAAAATAAACAAGCTGATTCTTTAAGATTTATGTCTCAAAATGAATGTCCTATTTAAAAAATCCAGTGATTTCTAAGACGTGTGAATAGGAAGATTTTGTTTCGATTAATTTTCAGCACACTGGGAAGTGAGCAACAGTGTGATCATCAAAGGTTAAAACTGACTTTAATAAACTGCAAACACACTTAGTAGAGGTGAGTATGTCACATCATTTCGAAATAGGGCTCTCTATATGTTTCCTATAATTTATTAATTTCATTTTTCTATGCACTTTGCAACAGGAACCTTCTTCGAAATTTATTTTTTGCATTAAAAAAAAGGAAATAGATCAATCTCATTTGAGTATACCTTTTCTAGTTCTGAGCTGTCGCAACCAAGGCATTCCTACTAGTATGGACATCTTGTTTTCGATGTATAGGTCGTTTTTTTCTTCAAGTCCATTGTACCACACCTGATTATAAATGTTTGATAGGAACTCGTTCCTTAACCAGGCTTCAAATCTTTGCGCATCTGATACCTAAAATAAAAAATATGACTTTGAGAGCTGTTGACATTGTTATCTCATGAGGTTGATATATTTATCAAAATAACAAATAAACACAATCATCCAACAAAACAAAAGGCAGATCCTAACTTTTATTTTTTGCACTGATTGAAATATTTGGTTTTTTAAATTGAAATTCACATACCGGGAGTGAAAAACTGATGACAACTGACCTTTTTCCAACATATGGCTCCGTAGATCAGTTGGGATGTACCTGAGCATTTACAAGCCTCTTTTCTGCGATTTATCTAATTGCAGCTCACCAGCAGGGATAAATGCTTTAACCCTTTAACACCCTTGAGTGAATTTCTTCTTACAATGTTAATGCAATATCAACCAGATAAGTGGGCGAATAAAGAAAATATCAATTTGGGGATAATTAGCTGATCCAATACTAAATTCTCTGAACTAACATCATAAAAGCAGTATGGTTGACAGTAAGGAGAATTACAAATTTGATCTTGGAGTTAGAGGGTTAACCCTGGCTCTAATTTTTCTTAAAAAAGTCATTTCATTCTTCGACGATTTTGGGTTTGTTTTTCAAGAGAAAAATAAATACAACACAAATGCCTTTTAACTATAAACTAGATAGTGTGTTTTGGCTAAAACGAGAATCTTACCACATTGAATTTAGTGAATCGATTTCTCGTCTCAGTTGTCATCAGGAAACGATTTCCATTCTTGTTTCCATAAGAAACGATGGCCAAAAGAAACACAAATATCAGATGAAGGATAATGTCTCTTGTCATGGTTGTTAACTGAGCTTCCTTTTTTGACCTCTCCCTCATCTTTTCACGCTGACATTTCTTAAATCGCTGTTTGGGATCATCACTTAAAAAGTCTATTTCAATTGCTAGTGGATCGATTGCAATTTCCTCTTTTTCTTCTTCATATTGGATTTTATTCTTTCTGATCAGGAGAAAGGATATAACGATGACTGCTATCATTACTTTCGTGGGTTGTACAACGAAAATATCTTGTCCATTGGAGATCAAGATGGAAGCAAGCCACTGCTCAGAGGTTTCCTTTCCCCACATTAGACTGTAAAACAGCGTAAACGTTGCGGCCGCCATAGTCGTACAGAAGCAGAGTAACCAGCCTACATAGACAAAGAAATGAGGTAGCATACAACCAATGTCCTTTATTTCATCCAAAAGTCGTTGGGCCTCGTCTGTCACTTGGTATTTTTCACTACTTTTCTTCTTCGGTCTGCTAGACTTAAAGAGGAAAGCAATTATTATGTTTATAGGTGCAATGATAATGCCACTTTGTACTCCGATGACTATCTGTTTCCAAGAAAACTTAAAAGGCCCAACCTGAATAGCACCATCGGATTCGCCACCAGTGTTATAGAACATGGCATTAGCTATCATTGCACTAAACAAAACTGAAAGACAACATGAAGCTCTTTGCACACGTGTGAAGGTGCTGCTGCATGCTTTTCCAAACACTGACATCCACAGGTGACTGTCGGCAATTTTTCGAGCAAAGCGCGAACGAACCTGAGCCGAGAAGGTAGAGTAAGTTGTGCTGTCCACAGTAACCTCTATTTGACCGTCGCCTTTCTCCAACGCAAGCCATCTATTAATGGGGAACACCCACCTTTCTTCCGTCTGCCGGTCTTTAATGACCACAGTCTCCACAAACCAAGACGGATTATCACCCAAATTATCGTGCTCCAAAGTAATTTCTTTTAATGTGCCCATGGTCTCAGCCATCACCAGAACAAAGCCATTGATACTCCCTCGACCGAAAAACTGGCTCGTATCCCCTTTCTCTCGCAATGGAATTTGACTCTGCTCGTTGTTGTCGCCCTTGATACAAATGGTTATGTTAGCTGTTGTTGCTGAATGTTTCCACACACCAGTGCTTATAACCATATCGTAGTAATATGTTCCTCCCTTAACAACTGATATCAATTTAGGAGGGCAAATCTGAAAGGAAGGGTACATTCTGGTGTTAAAAATCTACTGGTAAGAACGTAGCAGGTTTTATCTAAATTTCAATAGTAGCCTAAAAAAATGAAAAAAAAGCAAACTATTTAGGAACAAAAATATTGAATTAGATGTAGTAGCAACCATAACCATACTTTGTCTTCATCTCCCTTATCGGACCTTCTTGCAAAGATCAATACGACGAAGTACAAAAGGAAACAACAGACAATTGTCACAAGTACTGAGATATTGCCACTTTCAGCAAGGTTTAAAAACTCAGTAAAAACTTTGTCGAAGTCAATTGGATTCGGTGCTTGGATGAAGTTTCCACCAAAAGATGTCAAATGATTGCACAGGCATACCAGATGCGTAGTGTTTGAATCTTGACTGACCTGTGGATGTAAATGTCCTGAAATATATCATCTAAATTTAACGAAAAGAGTTTTGGTGAATCGATTTCCCCTTACGTTACCAGCCTTAACTCAGTCCTCAAGGAAAGGAACTGATATAGGATATGGCTAAGTTTTGATAGAAGCTTGAAAAGCCGCACCTGTTGAGGAGTATCGTCTCCTCGACTACAAAGTCCCGCAATTTTGAAATCAAAAACTTGTTTCCAGTTGATATACTTTTAATACAGAGCTAATAGGTTTCCTCATTGTGGAATAAAATAAGACACGAAGGACTTCACATACCTAATGTTTAGTTTTATCAGGAGTTGAAAATTTTACATTATTTACTTTACCCGACAATCTTCGGCAGTCCACTTTTCTGTTTCCTCTGACCAATACAAACAGCTTGACTGGATAATGGTTAAAGTGTAGTTAATGTCTGTATTTGGGTCATATTGCGGAACCAAGGTTTTAAGGACTCCTTTCGGTGGTGGATCTTTAACGCCGACACATGACCGTCGTTCGCGACGATGATCGAAACATGACCTTCTTTGCCTAGAATGTTGACTTTCATTCTTAGAGCCTTTGACCAACAAGCCCACATAGAGAAAACCAGGCTTAGAAGGCGTCACTTTAACAGACCCATCTTTGGTAAAGCAGGTTGTATTCAAAACTGTTTGTTTGTCACATTTAGAATTAAACATAAAAGTAAAGTTGTGGTCGAAGTCCATCATCGTTGGTCGTTGTCCAAATTTAATTCGCATTTCAATTTCCACTCCTGTCATGGCTAAACCCAATCTTAAAGAGACAGGGACGTCCGCCAGGTCTGCGTAATAACTTCGGAATGATATGCGGTCAGACTTCAGGAAATAATGTTGTGTTGAGTTGCTGGAGTTCTTTGGTGGATTAGAAATCGGAATGACGATCTCGATGTCATTATCAAGATTTGACACATTTAGCTTTTCTGCACTGTTACTCTTAAGCTCGAGACTCGTGACGCTTGATTTGATTTTCTTGCTGCTACTGTCCCATGTAAAAGGATTAAAATCAACAGCTTGCATCTGAAATAAGACACACAATCTGTTAGATTCGGACTCTCCGACTCTGGCAAATAACTCTTGCGATGACTTCAGCTATGTTTGCTGAGACGTCGGTTGCCATTACTGGGACTCTATAAATTCAAACATTCAGATTACACGATGATAAGATAGGTTATGTTGTTTGACAGTATGTCAAATGAAACCAAAGTATTACTAGATTACTTTTTCGGTCAACTTAAGTGACGAAATGACGTCCACAGAATTCTGAGAATATCAGTGCAGATTGCTTTAATATTTTATCACACGAATAAATCGCATACACTTGAATGTCGTAAAAGACAGCCTAACTTCACTATCAGTGATTACTTATGTCCTTTATCATATTCGTGAAAAGGTGAAAATTAAGATAAGAATGGCATCATACCTTTGCATTTATCTCTCCACCACCTATATTTCCAAGGCTGCTGGGGAGCTTGAATTTACTTGGTCCATCTCCCATGCTGAGTCCTTTAGCCTCATTGGCTGTGACCTTTTTCAACGATATTGCCAAGTTCGGAGTTTTTAGGACCAGATCTTCTGATGGCACCAAACGGCCAAAAAATGCATCACTCATGCTGCTCAGTTTTTCGGAGGCCTTTTTCACAAACTGGAAGGAAAGAAAGATTGTAAGCCGTAACGTTTTTTTATAATGACTGTTAGATTTCCTTAGACTCTTAATTTTCCCTCTTAGCCCCATAAAACGAGTCATCAAAAATTGTAGTAAAAAAAAAAACTACTAGCAAGGGAATACGTGGGTGAGTATATTTTTGATTTGGAACCTGTGTTTGCGATCCGTACCTCTTGAGATGTTGTGGTAGCTGCTAAATCTGCTCTATCTTGACTCGAGCCTGCAGCAGACTTCAGAACATTGGTTAGACAGCCTGTAACACTTGTAGCTATTAGTTCCAACCCTGGTGTAAAAGGCTCTTCTGGATCGTTAAGGGTAGAAATCATCATATTTGAGGTACTCTCGGTCAATCGCATCGTCAACTCCTGATAAGAAAATAAAATTAGTGTAATATCCACGAATCACTTTGCTCTTTGGGATATTGGTAGCAAGAAAACGGACAACATTATTCGAAAAAAAATAAAAAGAAAAGACATTTTCTGAGATCATAACGTAAGTCAAACGCAAGTTCCTTAATTAAGTTTACCTGTAAGTTTAACTTCGTTAGTTGTCTCCTTATTATCTTCAGGTCAAAATTTCTCAGTTATTTGTAATCAGAATCCTTTAAAGGCGAGAAAAAGCCTATCTTTGTCGATCGTACTGAGCATTGCTTGGTTAGCAGTCGAGTTTATCTATTATTAGGGAGGCATCAGCTTTAACTTCGTCATTGTTTGAAATTTGAAAGCTGTGACTTTCCGATATTCATTCAATGTTATTTCAATGGACTTGCAACAGAGATCAGTTCGTTTCCCGTTACCATGTACAAGCTAAAATTGACTTGTCGTATATGTTTGCATATATATTTATAGGGCGCACCAGGTTGTCATTGTTGCTGTTATCGTTGACGTCAACCTCGGCTCCCATAGCTAAGCTCACCACGGACATAACCAGACGAGACATTTCAAGATTCTCCGGTGTTACGGTTGTGAACTTCGTAATTAATGTGGTTAAGATCTACAAACAAAAAGAAGTGTGCGAAACATATTTAACGTTCACCTTCCACTAAAGATAAATAGAAATGGCAATAAAATTGTGTAGCAATACAGATAATCAAAACAAAATTACAAGAGAAATCTTTAAGTCTTGCTGATTACATTTAAGTAGCTTTTTTTTCACGTACCAAAGCTTTGTCTTTAGGGTCCAGTTCTTTTCCACATTCGCTTTTTTCATTTGCAGACTTGATGACAGATATACCCAGTTGAACAGCTTGGCTAAGTTCACCTTTGTTGAGAAATTCATCCAGCTTGTTACCTTCCCCTACTACAAAACTTTTTAACTTGTTTGCAACTTGCTCGGGTGACGAAACACATGAATCAAGGCTTGATGATGGCTTTACCTGCAGACGAAAAGTTTTATTGTGGTCTTTTGTGAGAAAAATCGGAATTTTGTTTTCATTACAGATTTTTAATGGATCCTAGCAACGAAGTCTTAATATTAGATGATCTTGGAATTTTTTTGCTGAAAAAACTCCAGAGGTCAGTAGGTAAAGAAAAAACATACCGTTTCTATAGATCAAAAATTTTAAAACATGAAAATCTTTGGTTAAGTTCCAAATTTTTCTTGCTTTGTAATATCAATTACTGCACCTTGATAAATAATTTCTGTTCAACAGCTACCCCAACTGCATTTTTGATAACAATAGTGACTTCTAACAGGAAATCTTTGTCCGGTAATCCTGTCGGTAACACTGTCGATACAGACGAGGGTGATGTGCCATAAGATATAGGCTCCTCTCCAAGGTTAAATTCATAAGTGAGCGGTAAGCTCGCATCCTGCCAATCGAAGCACTCGAAAGTAAACTCAGTCTCCAGTGAAACGCCTTCAGAGACTGACGTCGTGCAGTAACCACTGTGCGGCTCCCCTGCAGTTTCAAAGAGGAGCGTAGAAAACCCGTATGTCCCCTCCAGAGATTTTACAAATAATGTTAGATTGTATTTTGATTTGGATTGCAATGAATTCTTCTTGATAATCATATTAGTAGCATTAACAGCAGTTGAAGTCATATTGGGTAAAATAGGTATGTTTACCCATTTTGAACCATTTAATTTGGACAAGCGCCATTCATAAGTGGATCCACTACAAGGAGAATTAGGACACTCTGATGTCACCCGGAGCTTGTTTGACGCAGACACTATTGCGCCACAATCCACGAAGCATCTAAGAGAAAAGAAAGTAAACTATAAAAAAGCAAAAAAAAAGCAAAAAAAGAACATACACAAACATACACAAAAGCAAAAAGCAGTGTGGAGAACTGTCAAAACAGTTTCAGCTTCAATGGCACTTTATTGACTTAACGTAAATAGCTGAATTAAAATATGCCTACGCGCTTGAAAAAGGCGTTTCAGTTGCATAGCGATATGACTCTTTGAAACCAGTACCCGCCAGTCACTAGTGGAGCAGGTCTTTAATAGCTATGCTGCACTTTGGCCAAACCTTGAGATACCTAATGAAGCTTTTAAGTCCAATTTATTGAAATTATTCTTAAGTTGCGGAAAAGATTTTCATCGTACTCTTAAATACCAATATAAATGCCAGCGTCTGTTTCATCGAATCTCTCGAATATCTAATTTGTTTCCCAAGTAATTTAGAATTCGCCTGAGAATATTAAAAGTAAAAGTTAAAGCCTTTATTCAGGCCCAAGTGGCCCATGGGGCCGGCGCTTAGCTCAGGTTTCTATTTACTGTATTGCTACTCCCCCCTGGATGGAGTACTAGTCCATCGCAGGGTTACCCCCAGCACATTCGCTGGTACCCATTTGTACACCTGAGTGAAGGGAAGCACTGTCGGAGTAAAGTGTCTTACCTAAGAACACAACCAGTGACCCTGGCCAGGGCTCGAGCCCGGACCACTCGATCCGGGGTCGAACGTACCTGTGAACATCGGTCTGTCATAATTCGAAAAAAAATTACCTGAGAGTCACCTGAGGTACCTCTCCAGCAGCTATAGCAAAGGACATTTCAGCAAATGAACTTCTCACATCCTTGGAAACGGTAAGTCGTAGCAAGTAAGTCTGATCGATTTCAAGTCCACCGGGATCAATTCTAATTACCGTGGAGCTTAAGTTTCCTTTACCATGAAATGAACCGAAACAAGTGTTGCTTACATTAGCGTTATTCCGACAGGTCCACGTGAAGTTGAGCCCAGTATGTGTTCCAGGACCAATATCAGCATCGTAACTCAGGGAAGCATCCACAGTCACAATGTTTTTGGATCCCCATCGGACACTGCTTCCCCCATCAATGATTGCTCGCACTGGAGCTGCAATAACCTCGATGAAGCCGTAATCAAAAGCATTGAGCATCCGTGGGGATTCTTGATCGCCAACTGAAATTGAAGCATTGAATTTGACTTGGTAGATACCTGCTGGTATGGATCGTCTGTTTATTGTCCACTTCGTTGTTCCTTGACTAACTAAAGTACCTAATGCTGACTCGGAAGCAGCTAGCTCCATTTCACTGACCACGCTCCATTCGAAAGTGCTTTTCAGTACAGTTAAGTCTTCATTTAGACCCTGTATCACGGCTTCCTGGACGCTTTTGTCTGAACGATTTACAGGTGTGGCATGGTACTTGTCTTTTGAAATATTTCTGATGGTCACCGAGAAATCTCCTAAAAATATATTGGAAAAACATCTTCTTTAGCTTTCAACCTCAAAGAAACAAGCTTTCTGTAATTTCTATCGAAAACAAACTGAATTATCTTCTGGTGTTTTACACTAGGGTTTCTGTTATGAAGAAAGTATCTAAGGCTTTGTTCACTTTTCATCACCTTGTTCGATTATAGTAATGTATAGAACTTAACGAAATGATTAATTCTCAGCCCAGTTTTGTTTCACTGAAACTTTAATTTAATCTTACCGTCTGGCTCACATGCTATTCCATCTCCAGTGTAGTCTTTGCGGCACTCGCAGCTGAAGGACCCCGGATTGTTAAAGCAGTGAGCAACTCCATGACAGTTGTGAGTTGAGGTTGCACATTCATCGACATCTACATAATTCCATAAATGTGTTTAAGTCTTGTGACAAGGATAAGTGCCTCACTAAATAAAAGACAGCAAGAAGCAATTGATCTTGCAAATATTTCCTACCAGCACAACTTGTACCATTTCCTTCATATCCTTTGAAACATGTGCAATTAAAAGATCCGATTGTGTTATTACAAACTGCCCATGGGTCGCAGTTGTGCACATTTGTGGTGCATTCGTTAATATCTATATGAAAAAGAGAAATACGTATTTAAGACTATATAGCTGTCAAACCTAATCTAAAAAAAAAAAAAAAACAAACAAACAAAGGAAAAAAATATTTCTCGTGGCTTATATTCAAAAGAATGGGACATGGATGATGTTTTGTTACTACTGTTGGGGTGTCAGACTGATAGTGATGATTATGAAATGATTCCTAAATTTCCCTAAAGAATATCGTGAAATCGATCTGCTTTCCAGTCGCATGAGTATCTAAGGTCTGTTTTTTAACAGTTTCATCGACGAGATGTCGAAGTTTACGAGAACGTTTAGCTAATAACTCATTCAGAATGTTAGCGGCAGAGTTCGTTACGGTGAACCAAAGATTTGAGCTTCATTATACGTGCCATTGCAAAATCGTCCATCTCCAGAGTATCCAGGTAAACATCTACATACGAATGATCCATATCTATTAGAGCAATTTGCCTCAGGAGCGCAGTCATCCAGTTCTTCCTTACACTCGTTTATGTCTATGGATGTAAAGGTCATTATGAAAACAAATAACAACTTGCATTATATGAAGTGAAACAAGACGTTCTTGTGATCCAATTTGGAAAATGGCCCCAAATTGTAACCTTAAAGAAAACATTGACTTAATATTGAAACGAGGAGGCAAGAATGATACAGAAAATATGACCAGACATCCAAATCTTAAATGCGCTCATTTCTTGAGGCATATGTACACTTTTTCCAGTGCTGATTGGTGAACTTTTCCATTTCCTAGATAATTTTCAAAACTTAGAACCATCAGCAAAACTCGCAAAATAATGAGTCTTTTGATTATCCAACAAGGAATTCTTGGTACCATTTTCCTTTTTACTGGCACGCATGATCTTTTTGTATAAGAAGAAATCATTACTGATGAAACGATCTCGTCAGAGTTGGAAAATATGCTTAGCATACCCTATCTAAATCTAGAGTTAAACGTTGTTCGGGAAGTTGTAAACGGTTATCGTGGTTTAATATGATCTATAATTCACTTTATTTGAGAAAATGGGTACGATACCAAGGCATGCATTTATGTCACAGGAAATATGGGCGTACATGTAGGGAAAAGATTTTGCTGAGCTACCTTTGTATCTTGGAGGATATCTAAAATCCTCAAATAATTTTCCCTTCAAAAGGCACCAGTTTTCGAGAGCGAGCACGATGAAAACTTGGAGCTTCGGAACACACATAATGTCCAAGGAAATATCTGCGTGCATATTTCGTAGCTTATTAGGGGATATTGATTTGATGATCTTTCAAATGGTTTTCTTTTCTAGAGACAAAATTTCCTCCTCCACAGCTCTTTGGCACGTAGGAAAAAAACGTTTATACATTCTAAACAACAAAATGATGCAATCCTGTCTTAAATTATACATTTCGTTTGAAGGTTGCGGAAAATCACTTGTCTTTATAACCGGGTATTCCCGGTTTCAGCTGAGACATATTTGAGCACGTGGAGTCGGTCATATACCATACCAAAACAGCTGACACCGTCTCCTGTAAATCCTTGAAGACAAGTGCAATTGAATGAGCCCACAGTATTGTTACAATGCGCCATGCGGTGGCAATTGTGTTTCTGCTCTTGACATTCATCCAAATCTGCAAAAATCATATTAGATGATGTAAGCTCCTGTGTGCTTCTGCCCTATCTATCCTATCCTTTAGTTTTTTTTTTTTCTGTCAGTCTGCCGAGTCGTACGTCCTACCATATGTCCGTCCTTGAGAGTATGGAGATCGTAATTCTTCGTACATTTCAGTGTGCGTATGCGTGTGTTTCCTTACACGACTAGTAAGATGTTAGACAAATTCGCGCATTGATTGTATCACATATGTTTTCCTACTGGTATAAAATTCCTTTTTTTTCGGGAAAATTTTTGTATAAAGGCAGAAAAGCGTACGCGATGTGACCGAAAGGATCACGAGCCAAGTGGCTAACACAACACGAGCTATCTCGCTTTCCCCAGCATGTTGTTTGATAATAGTTGTTACTTAGTCGGAGCTGATGGTGCTTTGTCCCGCGGGAAGGAGAACCCATGAATCTTTGTCTTGAACTTATCATCCTGCCTCTGGATGTTGTGAGGACAGTTTCCATCGGGGAATGTTGGAGAATGGGAGATTACAACTGCATATTAGGCTTAACGTCATTTTTGGATGTGCTTCATTCGAGATGCGGCTTAGTGACGACTTGACATGAAAGCTTATGTCCTACCATTAAAATTACCTGAACAACCGAACAGCTCCACCCTCATGGCAATTTCCTCGTTCCAGTTAATTGGACGAAATCGGACGTAACGTCCCACGATGGAGGGATTTAAATCGTGGTAAACTATTGAATACCTGTTGATATTTCCATCAAAAGCCTTGATGTATCCAAAAAAAAAAGGAAAAGAATCTGCTGATTTCTTCGATCGAGAATAATATAATAATTAAATCTCACTGACTTTTTAAAAATTTTAAGTCAGAATTTAAAGTGAAAAACAACTAAAGAGAAGTTGGTAGTTCTAGGTCAGCTTGGGACGGCAGTTTAAAAAGTAAAATTGTTGAGGTGGGAAAAGTATAAAATTTTCATGCAAGATGTTCGTTTGTAAAGGTAAAGATTTTGAATTTTAATTTTCCTTCTTCTCATGACATACCTAATTGGCCGCGCTCCCCGGCCACCTTAAAAGGTTTTTAAGAATACTTCAGAATGTTTTATACAGATGTTCAATAACTATGCATGCATTGAAACAATAAAAGGAGAACAAAACAGCCAATTCCTGGTATATACGATGCACTCTGCATGTTTTTTTTGCAATACTGTCTTCTTTTATGGAAAAAAAGAAGCCTCGTCAGTACTTTAATATCAGGAAACTGCGATGCTGCGTCGGTGAGAGGGTTTAACATGGTAATTTCCTCTGAACAAAGTGAGCGGTAGTCCTTTGCTCTGATTAAGGGCTAACGCTCGACACGTCGAGTTTGAATCTCTTTACGGCGGCCAATTTACGTTGTCAGCTCAGTTGATAATACTTACTTACCCTGTAATACTCTAATATACCTTTTTTACTGCCAGTTCCATGTAATAATGGAAGTTAATTTCGTCGTTACTATATTGTAGATTGTAGCTAGTAACCCATTTCTTCTTCTTGGAATCATTCAGTCCTTGTGTGGCAATTCTCGTTACGATGATATCGTTTTCTAGCAAATCAATCTGAAGCCATTGGTCGGCATTGTTCACGAGAGGCAGCCAAGTTCCCTCTGGGGCTTTCAGTCTGGCCTTATTCGCCGCATGAGCTGCTTTCAGTTCTGAAGAGGCACTTATTTGTCCGTCAGAAATGACACCGTTTTCCATACCAAAAGGGTCTTGACATTCTTTGAATTTTCAGATAATAAACAGAAAGTTTTAATTTAGAGTATATAATCAACTGCCTTCCTTAGCAAAACTGAGTTAAACACAATAATTTTCAAAATTTGATAGGACACAAGATAAGTGAATTACGAACTGCACGTCAATCAAAGCAATACTCGTTATCAACAAATCGATTTCATATTTACCTAAACAGCCGTACAGCTCTACTCGCATTGTTATCCAATTATACCAAGCTGTCGGTCGGAAACGGATGTATCTTGCTCTAATTGGTGGAAAGAGGTCATGGTACACAACGGTGTCTTTGTCTGTGTTTCCAACGAAATTCTAAAATGAGATCAACACACTGAGAGACGTAAACCTCCTACCTATGTTGCATGCACTGCATTCTTCAACCTTGGGCTGTCTCAAGTATTTAAGTCAAATTTAAATCCACCGTTTAAAAATAGTCCGCAAAAGCCGTTAGTGCTATTATCCGCTCGACATGAAATTTGGCAGTTGTTTGATGTCAGCCTTTATCAGAGATCATGACTAATTTCTTAAATTTAACAACATATTTTTGTTATCATCACTTAAACTACTCTCCGTCTTTGAAAGACGAAAATATCCATACAACATGAAAGACTTAATTCTCCTATAAAATTGAGAGTTAACACTTTTTGAAGATTATTTAGACTCTATTCCGAACGACAGTTAAGATCAAAGTGTGCTGAGAGCGAACTTCCGATTCAAGTCACGTGATTTGTTACGTGATACAATGAAAGAAAGGGACAAATCGTATGAAAAAGCCCATTTTAACACTGTCGTTTTCAGAAAAGGATAATCATTAAAGAAATGTCAAACCAATCTCACCACCTGTAGAGGTTCGAGTGGAAATGTTTTCTTTTACATGGTATACTGTCTAATGTCCCCTTATGAAAGGCCAAAACAAGCCCTAAACATCTCTTGTAATGTTATATTATCCCCGGATTTAAATCATGGAGATTCGAGCCAGTTAAAATTCTCTACTCTGCTTCAGATATAATTATCTTATTTGTAAGTTTAATTTTCCCGCTGTAATTTTAATTAGACTTCTTTAACTTATTTATTCCCCAAAGTTGGAAGCTGTGGAAAATGATTAGCACAGACTTTGGTGCTTATTCACTAGAGTAACTCAGTAGTTTCTCTTAATTTAAGCTGAATTTTATACTTTCGAATTGATCGCTTAACGAAGTGCATGGTTTGACTCTTACAGTGTATTTTTTTAGATATCCCATTTAATAGAGATGGATTATTGATGAAAATTAATTTAGATAAGTATCAAACCTTCGACTCCACATGTCCACGTTCTTTATAAATGTGGAACTTTACTCCATCGTTGCTGTAAGTTAGATTATAGCTGGTCACCCAGTTCAACGTAGTTTGGCCGTTTCGTCCTTGCGTTGCAACCCTTGTTATTTTAACGTATGGATTAATCAGCTCTATCTGGAGCCACTGGTTTTCATCATTTGTGAGAGCCACCCAAGCCCCTGCTTTGTAACCTGATTGTTTAAAGTGAAGTCTACCATTATGTGCAGCTTCATTGTGATCCCATTGAGAAGAGGCACTAATTTGCTCGTTGGCGATGGCTTTGCTCTCCATTCCTTGAGCTTCTGCACATTCTAAGTAGCATTAATGTTTTGTATTAACACAAATATCATGATTCTATCGCAATAGCTACTTCAAGTCAATCTAAAGCGAGCTCTAGTTTTTTCGTTTGTCAAATATTCTTACACCCCATGGTTTTATTCTATTTCATTACATCATATTGACATCATGCGCACCAAGTTTTTACCGAATCAATGAAAACTATGTAAAAAGCATTGAATACGGAAAGCTCTTTCACGTAGATGTAATGGTGCATTTGGTTTGTAAGAGAAACAAAGGAGTCAGAAGGTTAATTAATAAAACAGCGATGAAATTACCGAGAAGTCGGAAAAGTTTTTAAATTATTTGCAAGCAAAATCGAAAAATCTCCTCGACGACCTCAGTTATTAGTTCAATTTCCAACTCAAGACAACCCCGTCTCAGAAGTCATTTAATTGATTTTGAATTTTTACCCTCATCACTCACTCAGCTTCTCCGGTAAATAAACAACAGTTTTACCAAAAGAAACATAGAAATCGTAGCCTTTTGGCGCAAACTCCAGTGGCACCAAACGATATGAATTAGATCTGATTCGTTTACGTTTTAACGTTGGGGGTAAATGTAAGCTGCTTTAAAGTTTCTGTACATTTTACGAGTAATTAATTGCCACCGTGCTTAGGCCAAAAAAAAAAGTTCTACCACCCTTTTCCTTATTGTAAGCTCATTAATAGATAGCAAACTTACTAACGGATCCGTAAACCTCAACTCTGAGGCAGATTTGACCTTTCCAAGTAACTGGAAGAAAACGAATGTATCTTGCATAAACTGGAACTTCCAATGGATGTTGATTAATTGTGTTGGATCCACCTTCCCTGCGAAATTTCTAACAAAATAAGAAAATTTGATGAGGTGACATATTTAGAAAATTCTTCATACCTAAAAATAGATTTTGATGACGATAAAAATTTCAGACAACTACAAGGGACAACTATGGAACTGCCTTTTTCCCAAGTTATTGTCGAAGTTGAGAGGAAGTACATCGATGATCGCACCCTTTCTGACAGACGATGCAGTTTTTATTATGCTGCTTTGGCAATACATTTATCGCTCTAACTGAACAAGGGGCCAAAATCTCACGATTTTCCCTACCATTAGGATTCTAACGTGTAATAGTAAGCAACACACCAGACATTTTATCAGAAGAAAACAAAAACCTCCTCAATCCCAGAAAAAACTACGAAAACGACTTCTTTCGATGAAGCACCCCTTCGCCTATCTGCTTATATAACGACGAACGGTAACGCCATTCCTGTGAGTTCAGTACATAAACCGAACAATGAAGTAGGTGTGCAACTCTCGTAAATCCTACAACCAAGCAATTTCCGTTACCTACATACCGATGATAGGCGACGAAATTTACTGTCGAAATTGAAGAGAAAGACGAACTCAGTCGTAGACTAGGAGCGGGTTAAAATATCAAATGCTCTGACCGTGAAGCCATCTAGATCATAGAGACACAAGGCTGTCTGACAACAAGCCGACTGGGAGCTGGTCATTATGTTGGTTGGTATCTAACCCGTTTGTTTGCTCAGTCGGCAGCGCACTGCATCGGTATCGCAAAGGTCATCCCGCACAGTCCTGAATTTTATTTTTCGGGCCTTATTTTTACTACTGCTTAAGTAGCGTCCTTTGTTGAGAAGATCGCTTTCATATTCATTTAGAGTTAATCCTGCGTTCAAACTGTGTACTTGAAGATCTTATTGTACACCATCATAAAACGATAAATTTTCCGGTATTAAAACAAAACAACATTTTGGCGCAAATCGTACCACTTCTAAGTCGTTAGCATCCTTATATGTTGGCCAACGACCCTCAAAAGATTTAGAGAGCGCTAGTTTAAAGTCTATCACCCATTCATTGCCATTGATGTCTCCTTGGGTTGCAACAGCGCACACTTCAATAATTTTCCCGAGATCAACTTGAAGCCACTGGTTTTCATCATTTTTTTCGGCGCACCATCCATCGCCTCTGGTACCGTTCAGACGTCCATATGATGGTAGGGTTTTGAAACCGTGGCTTGAATCATGACTTTTTGCCCTCATGAAGCTGTCAAGGATGATACTTGAATTGGAAACTCCAACAGCTTTACTAAAGCAGTCATCAAAGGCTTCTGCGTTCCAAAAATTTGCATATTTCGGTAAATTTTTGCCTTCCATATCACAGTTTATTCTTAACATAATACGCACGACATTTCGTAAGAAATTACAATACAAAACTGTGAGAAATCTATTTTAGAACCCTTAATTTATTTCTCGCATGAAGACATTATTTTTATGCTTGCCAGTGGGTTAATATAGTGCGCGGAATCATAAAGAGGCCAGCTGGGCTGCTATCTATATTCCCCATTTCACATCTTGTTGTTTTCTCGGAAAAGTAACCTATTTTGGCGCTTATGTTTTCTTTGCAATTGATTCACTCAAACCTATTGGGAAAAAAAATCGCGACAAAAACAAAAAACAACTGTCTGTTGGTAATACCAATTTAGGTTTAGGCTGAGCATCTCAAAATGTACTCTTTGACCGAGGGATATTCTGTTTTGTCGAGAATTTCTAATGATACACTCAACCGTTCAATAGGGTGAAAAAGAGAAGAAATTGCTGAATAAGAGAAAAACAGCAGTAAAGGATAAAGAAATTTAATTCATTTGTTTGAAAAATATTCGATATCGCTGTCGCTCTCTCACTGGTCGATAAACATGTCTTTACGTCACACGCTCTGCGTTTCTCGGCAAAGCTCATACCCATTTCAAAGTTATTGCAAGATTAATAACGTGAATTCATAAACATTTCAAAGTTATTGCAAGATTAATAACGTGAATTCATAAACATTTCAAAGTTATTGCAAGATTCGTAATGTGAATTCTACAACAATTTAAAGTAAATGGAGAAGATTTTCAAGTCCTGGCATTTCTGACTCTAGACATTTCTAACTCGAGTGCCTGAGACTCGACGATGTATGGATTAATTGGCAGATGAAATATTGCGCTTAAGGAAAACAGAATGGCACAGCTAAATAAAAGTATATTTTTTTGTTCGTTATCAAGATGAAACGGCAAACGCTTACGATTCTACTGTCTCATTGCATAAAATATCTCCTAAAAAGCTCTTTGATACCAGACAAGAAAATTACGTTTCCATGGCCTTAACCTCGATTACACCCTAAAAGGTGCCTTCTTCATTTAGACATCAAAGTTTCCTTGCGTACAAAATCCCACGAGTTAAACATACCTCCACTCGCTAAGCCTCTGATAATTACCACGATCAAGACTTGAACCTATAAGGCGAACGGATACATGTTTTTTGAAGGTTAAAAAACAGTTTTATCTCAGTACAGCAGAAGTACATGGAAGACATGTATAAAGGTCGGCAGGTTCACCTGTAGAAAAATTAAAGGCCTCTGAAACTTCATTTCGTCGCTATTTCATCCGAAACCGAGAAAAAGAATTTTTGTTATGTTGATATTATTTACAGAACTCTCCTGATCTCAATTTTTACCGACAGGTTTCATTCCCCACTGAGATTGCATTTAAGAAAAAAAAAAAAAACAATCAATCAGTGTTAAAATCAATTTCGCAATGGCCACGAAAAGGCATGTTCTAGAAATATTAATAATTGAAGTAGGAAAAATGCGTAAATTCTTAATCACGCCTAAGTTCGAAAAATGAATCATCCTGAAGAATAAAAAGAGTTTTATCTATTTTTCGGGAATATTGGTCAAATACATATTAAGATTGCGAAATTTTAGGTGTAAACAGGAGCTTCCAGCGTAAACAAAATATTGCATTTGCGGTTTCTGCTAAACATAACACAGTATAAATATAAACTTCTTAGAGACACAGGTACTTTGGATCTATACCGACAATAGTGATAGCAGGGGTTAATTAGGAGCTTGTGTTGACACTTTCAATCAACAGAGTCTCCCTTTCTTAAAGGAATTATTAAGATGTAGCTTTTAATTCTTGAAATAAAATGCTGTCTAGTTGTGTTCTTGCTTATGTTCTTTTACTCTTAACCAATTTTTCCTCGTAAATGGTCATTATAGTTTTCGCTGTTCTACATCTTCACATTTCGATTGTTGTACACAAATTAATATTTTGGCGAGCCTCTGCCTGAATAGCCTCTAATGGAGGGACTGTGTCACGCTGTGTTTTTGTGCTCTGTGGGTCCAGTTTGACACTTAAAAGGTGTCAAACTGCTATTGTTCCTCAAAGTAAATTAACGAGAAGCAGAGTGCGAATCGGCAAAGGTCAACGAGCACAGAGCGTGCAGACCGACTGATACAGGAGTGAGGAAGTGGGGGCACGAGACCAATCGAAAGACTTCTTTGTTTATTTCATAACCGAGTCTAACCCTTACTATCTTTACAATTTAACCTACAGAAACGTTGATAACCTCTATTTATTTTTTAGGGAGAACACTCCACTATTAATATGAAATAAGTTAGGTATTCCATCAAGCTGATATAAAGTCATCTTAACTACCTGTCCGTACAAACCTTGTTCTTAGAGTGCTTTTATACGTATGTATATGTTACTGAGATAATCAGACAGGCTGACCTAGTTCGGCTCAAAACTAGTTTAGATGGGGGGTTGTATAAACAATGACAAGGCCAAGACCACAACACCGTTAGTTACGTTCCCTACTTTTCGAAAGAAGCGCAGGAGTTCTTTAACGTCCCCTGCTAACCAATACAGAGGAGATGCAGGAGACGGAGTCTACGGTTTATCATACTCATCCGAGAAGGCTAGAATGTCTAACCATTTCCGATGTCATGGCAGAAGAAGCGCGTTTTCCTCAGTTATTTAACGACCCTGAGTGTTTGTCTGATCTGGAGCTTGAACCCTCGACCTTCCCGTAAGGCAGTGCGACTCTCTACCACATGAATCAGCCAAGTGCGTTTCTTTTTTTATCATGTATTTCTTTTATTTCTAATCTTCCAAATAAATATTGGGCAAAACTTAATTTAGGAAAACCAAGGGAAAAGAAAACTCTAAGCATTCAGGTTCTTAACTCTTGATTGTCTGTCTGAGTAATAACTAGAGGTATTCGCTATCAGATAAAAAAGTTCCATAAAGTAATTTTCCTCCTTCAAAGGATCATTTAGAATGTTTTCTGTTCGTCTTGAAAGCAAAAACAGTCTATTCTCCACATTAAGCACTCGTTCCTCTGTACAATAGATGATATTTTCTTAATTCAAATAGAAAGGCTCTGCATGCTTCAGAAAGACACATTGGCGAATTTTGTTTCATGCAAAACAACTTTAACTCAGTCCAATTACTTTCCTCGTGGAAAATGTTTGTTAAACGTTGCTCAATAAGAAGTGCCATTTCAAGCTCTTCTGCACATTACTCTGCGTTTGCTCTGGCGTCGCTGTATGATTCGTTGAGGACAGAGACCAGCACATTTATTAGTAATAGCAGAACTCCAGCGTAGCCCCATAATTATACGAAATAGTAGTAACCCATCAAGCCCAAAAAATTTGGTTGTACGAACGTACGACCGTACGACCGTACGACCGTACGACCTTACGACCGTATGAGGTGCTACTTTTAGCATGCGCGGCCAACTGTACCACGGGCACTATCTTAGCCATTACGTAATGGAAGGGCGAGGGAGAAGGTAATGCGCAGGCGCGATTGCGTGTGTAACTTGGATACTCTATTAGTGTGCGCCAAGAGACACCGTCAGATGACGATAAAGTGCGCATACTCGAACGTCGAGCTGCAGCGTAGCGTACTGCGGGCACACGGTTAGGCATTGCACGAGGGCTTCACGTCAGCTAATAGATGTAATTTGCCACCCGCGTTTTGAGCGGGAAATCAAACTGGTCAGGATGTAGTTGAACAGTAATTCTGAGAATTTTGCAATTTCGAAACAAATCAACAAAGGCAATAATACCGGCAGAGTTTAAGCTTTGTCAACCGGAGGAAACTGCTATAATTCAAGTTCATGGAGAAAGGGTTTTAAAAGGAAATAGGCTGGATATAAAAAGACAGAGCGACCAAAAAGAGCAACAAGTAAACGGCGTAAAGCGAGTCCATAAAATCGCGTAAGAAAGTTAGAAAGGACGCTAAAAGACGCTTAAGAAAGGACGCCAAAATAGGCAGAATACGGCGAGAGGAACGCGAAAGAGAACAATAAAGGGCATAAGTAAAAGAGCGAGTATCTAGCGAAGAGCAACGGGATAAGGAAATACAAAGTCGTTCCTGAAAACAGACTGAAAAGAGGTCATCAACAAAGAGAAGCAAACTACAAAGGATCCGCGAAAGAAGAGGAAGCAAGTCGCGTCTTATCTGGGTTTTCTCTTACGCTAAGACCCAGAAAAATTCAAACTTTTTTTTTACCGATCGTCGTTTGATAAAAGCTTCAGTTTTTAATTCAACTGATCACGTTTCGGTTAAACATTGACTCTGGCATTCATCGTCTAAAAACCCTTATCGTTCGAATAATATTTCATAGTGTTCGTATTCTTCAAGTTGTTTCTTTTCCTTTCGTTTGAAAGTTTAACGCAGTCGTGGTGTCATAGGAAAAGAAGTTATCTTACGTATTTTGTTTTGTCTTGAAAGTTTTCAAATGATGGCGAACGGCGAGCGCAAGTTTTTACTTTTTTTTTCTTCAGTTAATTATCGCAGGATCTACTCTGTTCATTTGAAAAATTCGCGCTTTGCCGAAGATGTGTTGTTTTACCCCAAGAACGAAGTAATGGCCTTTCCCAAAATTGAAATAAAATGAGATTAAGTCAGCGATGTTCATGTTTACATTAAGTCTGACGCGGTAACTTGATTCTGACGATATTGTCATTTTAGAACCCGTCAAACATCCAAGAATCAAATTACGGACCGCAAATGTGAGGTGCAAAAACACTCAAGGGTAAATTGGGATTTTAATTGTTTGGTTGTCTTACTTTTCAGCGCTATATTTTCATGCTTTCTACTCGATTCGTCCGAACTTCAAGAAATGGTTTGTCTCACAAAACATGGAGCTACTTTCTCTCCGCTCAACATCTCGAGGCGTTATGATGAACATGCTTGCGATACGATATTTTTTTTCTTATGCTGGAAACTGAAGAATTAATCTCTGAAATTGGTAGTCATCACATTTTGCAATTAAACGGGGTTCTAGCAATTTAACCTCACAAGCGCGCTGGTAAGTGAAGTGTGGACGTCTTGTATTCTGCAGCATACACCTTTATTGATATCTGTCGGGCTATACCAGCAACTAAACTACTCGCTACATCTAGTTATAAACTCGGCTCTTTTAGGTACGGTTGAGGATCTAGAAAGTTCCGTAACATTATAGGAGATTCTATTTATATGTTGATTCGGGGATGACTCAACATGACACAGCTATACTTCTAGAACATTCTTGAAGGTCACACTACAGTAAGCTCATGGTTAACGTAAATAATTGTTGTTTACAGTTTTGGAATTCAAGAGCAGTTTTTGAGAGTCTATTTCTGTAACGTTCCTGGATATTTTCTATTAAATTCACTGAGGTTCAGTCTCGGAATTTCATAAGCGAATATGAATGATAGATTCGTATCGGCATCATAATTTAGGGAAATTTTGTCAACACATTAACATTTTACAATTCGCCAACCATTTCTTTAACCTGCTTGGATATTCTCTTTTGAAGTAATTGAGTCACACCCTCGGAATTTCATTTAGTAATTAAGAACGACAAATCCGTATATATAGCACAAGTGAAGCACATTTTAAACCTATAGGAAACATACAGTTCTTGTGATGTTAGTTTCGAGGATTTAGTAAATGAATCATCTTAATTATAATCCCCTAACTGATATTTTTCTTTATTCTCATAACTTGTCTGTTTGATATTATTTTGATATTGTAAGGAATACTTCTGTCTTGGTCCCTCATGGCAATTAAAGGGTTAAAATGGGGGATTTCATCATATTGTAATGATTAACATATTCGTATGCTTTCAAATGTAACAAAAAATGTGATGAGAATCTAATGTTATGAAACACTTCAACTTCCAGGGTGGAAGAGAGGAAGACCATAGACCACAACTCTGATTTTCCTCCCCTAGGTGAAATTTTTTTTTCATGTTTTCGACACATTTCACAAAAATAATAAACTTGGAACAATGTACAACAAAAAAAAGATTTCTTTTTGAATGCTAGTTTCCTCTACGGAAAGGCAGCCCTGCTAACATTGTCATGGACCTTTCTTATTGTCACTTGTTCCATGTAATATTGCAGGTAACTTTTTTATAGCCGTACTGTAAATTGTAGCTGGTAACCCACTTAGGCAAAGCATTCATTCTTTTTCTGGCAACTCGTTTCACGACGATATCGTTATTTCGCAAATCGATCTGGAGTCACCCGTCGCCATCGTCCTTCAGAGGCAACCAAGTTCCCTCGATTGATATTAGTCTGCTCTTAGTCGACTCATTGTCTGCACTCAGTTCTGAAGAGGCACTAATTTGTCCGTCAGAAATGGCACCGTTTCCATACCAAGGGGGCCTTGACATTCTTTATATTTCAAAAAAATAAATAAATAAAAAGTTGTAATTGAGATTATATCCACACCTATCCTCCTTACTATAGGAAAGTTAAAACAGGGGACGAAAAACAAAATTTGAGGGAATTGCATTACTTTCGGCAGAGGATGTTAACGTCAAGGAGGAAAACTATCTGAGCAGGAATTTGAAATTATTGTAGGGCTAAGCAAGGACTCTTGTAAGCGAAATGGAGATTTTTGGTCAGAGTCTTGTGAATTACAGGAAAGATTATAATTTAATGCCAACAAGACCACAAGCGTAAAATGGAAAATGCTATAATTTTTTTGAGAGGCTCAGATATTCAAGAAGACAAAATGAAATAATAGTGGACGATATCTTTCACATAAAGGATAAAAGGTAAGCGAATTTCAAATCATTTGTTGAACAACCCAAGAATTCTTCTCAGCAATTCAAAATTTAACTTTACCTACACAGCCATACAACTCTACTCGCATAGATACTCCACCAATCCAACTTGTGGGTCGGAAACGGATGTATCTTGCCCTGATTGGTGAGGAAAGGTTATGATACACAACGGTGTCTTGGTCGATATTTCCAGCAAAAAAAAAACAAACAAACAAAAAAAAAAACCGTTGATACGCGTGGGTGAGTTGCAAATTACTCTGTGATAAAAGCAGGGTATAGATGGTAGGTTCTTGTAACCCCTTGGCCAACCGGCATTTTTCTCTGAAAGTGCTTGTCTCATTCAATGTTGTTGATAGCCTACATTGCAGGATTGGTATTCAGGTTTGTACCCTGTCACACCTCAGTTACTGGACTAACACTCCATGGCTGGAGGGTATTTTAGTGTCAACAGCTTGCCTTTGGAGCAGGGAGGCTCAGTTTACATTGCAAAAACTTGGTAGCTGTATCATCTCATATATCATGAGTATGCAGGAGTAATCTTGACTGCCTGCCTGACACATCAAAGTCATATATCAGAAACCTTAGGCCAGTAGTCAGTACTCAATCAGAACAAAACTGTCTGTTAAAAAACACATTTTCCTTACAGTCACATGTTTTGTCACTGTAAGTATTTTGACACTTTATGCGCATAATGTTATTGTAGATCTTTTATCATGCAAACACTTAGCTGAACATTTAATTTACAATGACTTCCGACCATGACAAAACTTCTTTTATTGCATTTTCTATCTTTTGTGCTAAAAATATTCCATTACGCCTTACTTATAAGATACACTTATCTAAAAATAAACATTCAATAATATCTACGCTTGGTAGAAAAGCCAGAAATAATTTCAGTGGAAGAAAACTTAGCTAAATTATACAGTAAAACATCTCTGCACTCAGAGATCATATTTTGATTTCCTTTCCGAATCACGCACCGAAGGATTTATCATTACTAATAAAAGGTAAATTAAGTCATTCTCCTCTTTCAAATAATCAGCCTCCATGTACTCTGTTCGTCGAGTGAGAAAAATTAGTCGTTTTTCAGCTTTTAACATTCGTTCCTCTGTACATTGGATAATACTTTCAGAATTCAAAAAAAATGGCTCTGCTTCAGAAAGGCACATGTTGACAAATATTGTCTCATCACAAAACAACTTAAACTCAGTCCGATTACTTCCCTCGTGGAAAATGTCCATTAAACGCTCCTCAATAAAACGTGCCATTTCAAGCTCTTTTGCATTTTCTTCTGCGTTTGATTTTGCGTCACCGTATGATTCGTTGAGGACAGAAACAAGCATATTCATAAGAAATATATTTGTGGATATACAAAACAAAAATGCAAACGTCGGACCAATGAAGGGTCTGTCCCTTCGAAGAGCGTCCATTGGGACTGCTTTTCCTAACAGGAATTCGAATTGAGACATGACTGCATCGAGATAACTGGAATATTCTAATACTACACCACCGAAAAACTGCATACCTGTTATAACAAATGCATTAAACACGATCAGAAAAAAGAGCACATACGAGAGTTGATAGCCTATAGATTGGCGAAAAGATGAAAACAAATATATTACGTGTGGGTTAAAACGAATCAGATTCAGAAGCTTGACTGTCACCAAGAAAACAGCAACAGCAATGGACGCATTTTCCAGGTTAAGCCAATTCAAGGCTCTGTGGAAATGCACGATTTCATATGGATTGGCTTGAATAGATTTGATAGTGTTTAAAACGCTTTTAGCTCTGATCATGTAAAATGCTACAGAGGCTACAGAGAAAATAATCATAAAGAAATCCACCATATTCCAAACAGACTTGAAGAAACCTAAACGTTGTTGATAAAGGTGAACCAACATAACTATGAAGTAAAAGAGGACCATTGCCATGAACAGAAACTGGCCAATTAAGAAAAACATCAGAGCTCCTGACTCAGTGCTGTACAACTCCAGTGTTTCAATTCTCCTTGTAGTGTAGGCTGCACCAGTAGCTAAGGCCTCGTAAAAGTATGTGGCAACGCTAATCAAGTTTGTATTTACATTAAAAATAGCAAACTCTAGAATTACAGCTCGAGTTTGGCGATCAAGCCATCCATTAGTAATAGTCTCGTTGAGGACGCCTTGTGCAGTGTTTTCATCGTATCCCATGACTGCTGCATAACCACCCCCTTCATAAGAGTTGTAAGACGCTAGAATGGGATCGTTGCGAAGTTCTGCTGCTGATTGATACCGCCAAGGCTTAGGGCAAATTTGGAGAGCATTGGGCCACGAAGTATTGAGGGATAGAGGTATCCAACCTGGAAGGCTTAGCAAAGTCGTGTCCTCATTTTCTGGAGAATAGTCGTCATAACAATCTGCTATCATTTTAGAGAGTGATCTGCAGGATTCTTCAAATCAAAAAAAAAATTGGAATAAACTACTTTAAGATTTGCACTTCTGATAAATGATGATAAAAAGAAAGAGAGGAGGAGAAAAATGCTGGCAGAAGAAAAAAAAAACACGCCAATGAAGTTTCTTGATATCGGGTTAAAAATCTGTGGTTCTAAAAATGCTTTTGAGTCAAGTCATGAGTAGCGAAATGAAATGTATCAGCAAACAAGTACATGTTCTTTTATGCCTATGCCTTATTTTCTAGAGCCTGTAGTAGTATAGTTGTATAATTTAGTATGTAAGTTACGAGCCTTTTGATTTCCAGATCACTAGACATGCACTTATAGTTATTCGAATTAATTAAGTCACTATGACATTTTCCTATTTCAACAAGCATTTTGCAATTGTATATTAGGGATATTTTTCCCACCAATTTAGAATCTCCATTGTCTATTGCCACTGTAGAAATTGTATTTGTGATAACCTGTTTGTTTAAGAAAATGATATATTCTGATCTAAGTTTACTTTTTTTAATTCTGAGCTGTCGCAACCAGGGCATTCCCACTAATACCGACATCTTGTTCCCGATATACACATCGTTTTCCTCTTCAAGTCCGTTGTACCACGCCTGATTATAAATGTTTAATATGAATTCGTTCCTTAACCATGCCTCTAATATGTGCGCATCCTTTACCTAGAATAAAGAATAATAAATAAATAAATTAAGATTGATTAATTAATTAATTAATTAATTAAAAATTAAGATCCAAGGACCCGTCAAGAAGATAGAATGTGTAACTCGCATGATCGCATGATTATTAAACAAACGAACAAGGAAAGGTAAAGGAATAAATCAAAAGACAGGAACAAAGCGAGAGGGGGAAAGAGACTCGCCGCCAATCTTTAATGCAAATAGCAAACAATGAATAACAAATGAATAAATAAAAAAATTCAAACGCCTATCTCACTCAAAAGCAAACTTAAATATGAAATCCATAGTAACATCGCTATTACCTTTTTTCAAAGGTAAAAGTCATTATTTATATTCACCAGAAACCTGCATAAATTAGCCTGCTCACTTGCTATCGCTAGTTGTGGTATTGCGACGGACTTTAATACCTATTTCTCTTTTAAACATCCACCAGTCTGTAATCTTTCACTGATATAAGGATCGATTGCCAGGCGAAATAGCTTTTGAATACCGTCAAATATTTTACAACTGCGGAAAAAAATCATTTTTAGTCATCGAGAAACATAATCTTACCAGATTAAACTTATTGAATCGATTTCTCGTCTCGGTGGTCATCAGAAAACGATTTCCGTTCTTGTTTCCATAAGATACGATGGCCAGAAGAAACACAAATATTAAATGCAGAATAATGTCTCTTGTCATACTTGTCAACTGCGCTTCTTTTTTAGATCTCTCCCTCATCTTTTCCCGCTGATATTTCTTAAAGCGCTGTTTGGGATCATCGCAGGAAAAATTTATCTCAATTGCGTGTGGATCGGTAGCAGTCTCTTCTTCTTCTTCGCATTTGCCTTTGTTCTTTCTTGTCAGGAGAAAGGAAATGACGATGACGGCTAACATAACCTTCGTGGGCTGCACAACGAAAATATCTTGTCCATTGGAAATTAGAATAGAAGCAAGCCACTGCTCAGAGGTTTCCTTTCCCCACATTAGACTGTAAAACAGCGTAAATGTTGCTGCTGCCATTGTCGTACAGAAGCAAAGAAAGCAGCCCATATAAACAAAAAAATTGGGAAGCAAACAACCGGTATCCGTTATTTCATCCAAAAGTCGTTGGGCCTCGTCTGTTACTTGGTATTTTTCACTCCTTTTCTTCTTCCGTCTGCTAGACTTAAACAGGAAGGCAATTATTATGTTTATTGGTGCAATGATAATGCCACTTTGTACTCCGATGACTATCTGTTTCCAAGAAAACTTAAAAGGCCCAACTTGTATCGCACCATCGGATTCACCACCAATGTTATAGAACATGGCATTTGCTATCATTGCACTAAACAGAACTGAAAGGCAACATGAAGCTCTTTGCACTCGTGTGAAGGTACTGCTACATGCTTTTCCAAACACTGACATCCACAAGTGACTGTCGGCAATTTTTCTGGCAAAGCGCGAACGAACCTGAGCGGAGAAGGCAGAGTAAGATTTGCTGTCCACAGTAACCTCTATTTGGCCGTCGTCTTTTTCCAACGCAAGCCATCTATTTATAGGGAAAACCCACCTTTCTTCGGTCTGACGGTCTTGGATAACTACGGTTTCTACAAAACAAGATGGATTATCACCCGAATTATCGTGATCCAAAGTAATTTCTTTTAAAGGGCCGATGGATTCTTTCAACACGAGCACAAAGCCGTTGATACTCCCACGTCCAAAAAGCTCGCTCCTCTCCCCTTTATCCCTCAATGGAATTTGATTCTGCTCATAATTTTCGCCCTTTATACTGATGTTTATGTTAGCTGTTGTTGCTGAATGTTTCCAAACGCCGGTGCTTATAACCATATCGTAATAATAGGCTCCTTCCTTCACAAGCGTTATCAATTTAGGTGGGCAAATCTAAAAAAAAAAGCAACAACAACATTCAGAGATCAAAATAATTCAAATTACACGTCTTGCAGGTTAAGATATGATTACCTTGTCTGCATCTCTCTTGTCGGCCCTCCTTGTAAAGATTAAGACAACGAGATACAGAAGGAAAAAACAGGCAATTGTCACAAGTACTGAAATATTGCCACTTTCAGCAAGGTTTGAAAACTCAGTAAAAACTTTGTCGAAGTCAATTGGGTTTGGTGCTTGGATGAAGTTTCCACCAAAAGATGTTAAATGATTGCAGAGACATTTGAGATGGGTGGTGTTCGAGTCTTGGCTTACCTTTAACAAAAAGAAAAGGAATCAATTTAGCGAAAGAATTGAACATTATACTGTGCTTTAGCGCATAGCACACAAGGGTTAGCAGTTTTCGTGTGCGTTAATTAGCTATTTCGAATGTCAATAGCAAGTACTATTCATCTTCGAGCAGTCGATGATGCAAAAGCGCGAGTCAAGAGTTCGTTTTCCTACCATTATTTGGTATAATGAAAGTATCAGACTACTTTTTTTGTATCTGTTTGATATATATTAAAACAATTATCCACCTCGACTTTTGTAAATTATTGTTTCAAAATTAAACTCAAGCGCGATCTTAATTAAATTAGCAAACTTTAATCCCGAGCTAAATTGGTAAATTGCTTTAGTAATGAATCCTGAGACCCGTTGGCCACACAAGAGAAGACAAAAAAGCAAACAAGTTGATTAATAGTTTTAACGCTAAGTTTATAGCTAATTCGCATCCAAATGTTAAATCTGAAATGTTCATACCAAAAAAATCCCTCCCATAGATATGTTAAGAATGACTAATCGGTTGCTATCGTCATTGAAGGGAGGCAGCAATGACAATTGCATAGGATTTTACTCGGTAAAGCTTACTTAACAGCAGAAAATTTATGCAATAATTTATTTTTACCCGGCAACCTTCCGCGGTCCACTTTTCTGTGTCCTCTGACCAATACAAACAACTCGACTGGGTGATGGTCAAAGTGTAGTTAGCGTCTGTGTCTGGATCATATTTCGGAATCACAGAGCTAAGAAATCCTTTTGGAGGTGGATCTTTAACGCCCACACATGACCGTCTTTCGCGACGATTTCCAAAACAGGATCTCCTTTGCCTGGAATGTTGACTTTCATTCTTAGGGCTTTTAAACAATAAGCCCGCGTAGAGGAAGCCTGGCTTAAAAGGGATCACTTTAACCGAGCTATCTCTGATAGGGCAAGTTGCATTAGCATCTGTTTGGTTGTTACATGTGGATGTAAACTTCATTGTAAAATTGTGGTCAAAGTCATTTATCGTCGGTCTTTTTCCAAATTTTATGAACAGACTGATTTGTAATCCTGCTTTAGCCATACCCAACTTAAGAGATACAGGAACATTGGCTAGTTCTGCGTAATAACTTCGAACTGAGATTTCATTTGGCTTAAGAAAGTTATGTTGTGTCTCGTTGGTGGAGTTTTGAGGTGGACTTGAAATGGGAATCAAGATCTCAATGTCATTGTCAAGGTTTGAAACATTTATCTTTTCCGCGCTATTGCTTTTAAGCTCAAGACTCGTGACGCGTGATTTGATTTTCTTGCTGCTATTGTCCCAAGTGAAAGGGTTAAAATCAACAGCTTGCATCTGAAAGAGAACACGATTTGGTGTTACTAATTTTACTGAAGAAGGTTAACTCCAGAAGATTTGCTCGCATACATAAAATTGGTGTAAACAGATTTTGTCATTTTATCATATTAATTAAGTACACGTGGAGACAAGAAAGCGTAATTACAAATTAAGGCAGCGATGACTCGAATCATTCTCAAGTGAATTCTGATAAGAATGGCATTATACCTTTGCATTTATCTCTCCACCACCAATATTTCCAAGGCTGCTCGGGAGCTTGAATTTACTTGGTCCATCTCCCATGCTGAGTCCTTTTGCATCATTAGCTGTGACTTTTTTCAGCGAAATTGCCAAGTTTGGAGTTTTTATGACCAGATCTTCTGATGGAACCAAGCGGCCAAAAAATGCATCACTCATGTTGCTCAGTTTTTCGGAGGCCGTCTTCACGAACTGAAAGGAAAGTCAAAGAATGATGTTCGGTCACCTGATGACGTAGTTAATCCGATGACTTTTCCACTTTATTAGACCTCATAAATCTTAGTTCACAATTCTTCTTCGCTGCCTTCATTGGTCTCGCCGTTTTGTTCGCTTAATGTAAACCCTATTGCTAGAATTAATTTATCCTGAATTGATGGCGAAAACGAAATTCCAATAAGGGAATGTATGCAGAAAGGTCTGATCTCCGTGGTAGTCGTACTTGTAACTGTAGTTGTGATCTTTACCTCTGGAGAGGGTGGGGTTACTGCCGAGTCTGTGTCGTCCTGACTTGAGCCTGCAGCAGACTTAAGAACATTTGTGAGGCAGCCTGTAACACTTGTAGCTGTTTGTTCTAACTCCGATGTGAAAGGCTCCTCCGGATCATTCAGGGTGGAAATCATTATATTAGCTGTACTATCAGTCAATTGCATCGTTAATTCCTAGGGAGAATAACACCAATGCGACATATGCCTCACTGGAATTAAAATTGTACAGAAAGATTGGTGGATTAGATAATTTAGAACATTCGCAAAATTCAAATGCATGTATGTTTTTAAAATACCAATTATGAGTTACTGAAAAATAATAGAGATTTCATTTCTTACGATTCGCCTGGGAGGATAAGCTTGTTGCTTAAATCCGTTACAGATAAAATTGTTTCATATATTTTCGATCAGATGCATCGTGTTCTAGAGACAATCTGTCACTAATGGTTCTCATCTTTGGGTTTAAAGTTGAATTTATGTTGATAAAAGGATTTAAAGAAAAAAAAAAGTGGCATACCATATTGTTGTTGTTGCTATCTCCGCCACCGTCTGCCTCCACTCCCATGGCCAAGCCTACTACAGACATAACCAAGCGAGACATTTCAAGATTCTCTGGTGTTATAGCTGTAAACTTCGATATCAATGTGTTGGAAATCTAGCAACAAAAAGAAATGGCACGCATCATTAACAAATCGAAAAGGCTTTGACTGTGCTCTGTTCTGTTGTAAAGCTCGCAGAAAGCGGAGAGAACACGAAAGAGGTGTAAGGAGAAATATGAGTTTTAATTGAGTGTTTCTCTCCACTTCTTGAGTGCTCTGGCCACATCCTAACTGCTTTAGAACAGAACAGACCACCGTGAAGACTTTTCTATTTTTTCATGATGAAAAATCCCTTAAAACTCCCCACGCATTTCTTTCAATTTTAAAAGCAAACTTCATTTCCAGAGCAAAAAGAGAGTCGTCAGCATACTGTATACTCCTATAAAGCACGCTACCATAAGCAATCAGAATCCGTGTTAGGATGGTTCAAATGATGTTTAAAAAAGACAAAAGCTGTCAAGAATATTAAACCATCAAAGTTCACAATATGAAATAGTTTACAACCTTAAGTAGATCGGTAAGTCGAATTTAACACTTTTGCTTGAAGTTTTTTAGTCTCTAGTTGTTACGAGTGTCGATGTAGAGCAGGGTTGTTCCTAGACAAAACTCAGGATCGTCGGTAACAGCAACAAACTGGTTTATTTCCACGTGGCTGACTTCTCGTCTTTACAGCACTAAGCTTCTTCGCAATTTTCTCTCAGTGTCAATGAAACTGTCGCTCTTATATACATAAAGTACAAGGATCTAGAAACTTCTCTAAAGAACTAAATTTAGTAGATTAACACGGTTTCTAAATTTGAATAACTACGTAAGAAATAGAACGTTCCAGAATTTTCTTTTTACCAGAAAGTCACGTCCAGATGACTTCGGGTTCTAGACTGTTCTATAGAATGTTCTAAGACTTATCTTAGACAATTTTTCGTAACACTAGTACAGAAACTGAAAGTTAAATGTTCAGTGAAATCCGGTCGAACTGTTGCTCATAAAAACAAGCAATTTTTTTGACATGTCAAGTAGAAAACAAACTACTCAAGGCTGGTGTGTTTTACGATTCAACGACAGCTGAATTCACTAGAACATGAGGATTCCACTGGATGACAGCGCCGTGAAACTCGGTTGTTGTGATTGATGTGGCCTTCCACTTAACGCATCTACTCAACGGATCGGAACTGGATATCATAGCAAGCTCGTAATTATCCACTCGAAGGGCGGCTGATGTAATTTTTGAGGTTTGCTTCATTGCGATGACCGGAGATCGCCGCTATGAGCTACCCGCGATAGACCTCAGCATGGTCGCAGTCACTCAGACACCGTTATGCTCAGTATGACTTTTAACCGTTATGACAGTAAGGCTATATTTTTCATCATTCTTGTTTTGTTCTGTGTTGTTTTTAACAGGAAACTTTCTATACTATGCGAGTGTTGACGTGTTTGGTTTTTATTATCGTCCGTAAGCTTACAATCTAATTGAGCATGAAAAACTTAAATACTCGGACTGTCCCATTAGTTTTCTCTTTGAGAATTTTCTTCTCTGCTTATGTTATAATAACGTAAATTACGGCGCTTGGCATTTTTACAAACCTTTGTTTTTATCTCCTATTATTACTCGCCGGCTCGCTTGCTCCGAAATTTCACCTTCAATTCACGAAAGAAAAATAGCTAGACAAAAGTCCGAGAAATGGTCGGACAGAGACAATTTGGCAGATGGTGTGACGGCGTGTCAGCCTAAGCAGAGCTCTTTACTTCGTACTCTGATAGAGCACGCTCTCTCAGCCAATGACAGCGCGCGTTATGTTCGAACTTTATCATAAAACGAATAATTGCACATATTTTAAGTGTGCCTTAGGAAATAAATGAACGAAAATCGGAATGGCTACGTGTTCTAAGAGAAAACATAAAACTTAATTCCGAAAGTTTGAGCGTTGTTGCCGACTGTATTTGAGCAATTTCATTAACTTACCAAAGCTGTGTCGTTAGGGTCCAATTCTTGTCCACATTCAGTTTTTTCATTTGCAGACTTGAAAACGGATATACCAAGTTGAACAGCTTGGCTGAGTTCACCCTTGTTGAGATATTCATCTAGCTTGTTACCTTCCCCGACTACGAAACCTTTTAACTTGATTGCAACTTCGTCTGGTGATGAAGCACATGGATCAAGGCCAGATGATGGCCTTACCTGCAAGGGATAAGTGAGATATATCGTAATATTTTCGTAACTGGAATATCTTTTTGGCGTTTGAGTTAAACTTTTAGCCATTACTGGATCCAAGCGCCGATGAGATAGAACTGGATGAAAAAAGGTTAGCGAGCCCACAGAAAAAATTTACCGTTTTGAAAGAGTTTGTAAACAGCGTTAATAAATCGAATTGGAAAATGTAAAGATTTCAAGTGACGTTTTTATGAATTGCGTAAATAGTTATTCTTTTCAAAAACTTCCCCTTAATCAATTGCAGTACCTTGATGAGTAATTTCTCTACAACAGATACTCCAACCGCATTCTTAATAACAATAGTGACTTGTTGGTGGAAATCTTCGTTCGGCGATCCCGCAGGTAACACTGTCGAGACAGACGAGGGTGACGTGCCATAAGATATAGGCTCCTCTCCAAGTGCAAATTCATATTTCAGTGGTAGGCTCGTATCCTGCCAATCGAAGCACTTAAAGGTAAACTCAGTTTCCAGTGAGATGCCTTCAGAAACCGATGGCGCGCAGTAACCATTATGCGGCTCTCCAGCGGTTTCAAAGAGGAGTACAGAAAGCCCGTATGCTCCTTTCAAAGATGTCACCAATAATGTTAGATTATACTTCGATTTGGATTGCAATGAATTTTTCTTGATTATCATATTGGTAGAATTTATAGCTGTTGAAGTCATGTTGGGTAAAATAGGTATATTTTCCCAACTGTCTGACCCGTTCAGCATGGACAGACGCCATTCGTAGACAGATCCATTGCAAGGAGAATTAAGACACTCTGATGTCACCCGGAGCTTGTTAGAAGCAGACACTATTGCGCCACAATCTATGAAGCATCTGTGTAAAAAAATAGAAAAGAATGAACAATATACGAAAAGCTGCAAAATCAAATACAAGCAAATAGGGCTTAATTACCAGATCTCCTTCACTTTCAAAAGTGAAAACACAGCTTTAGTCGATTGGCGAATTGCCCTTTCAAACCACCACCTGCTCGTCTTTAGTAGAGCAAGTCAATGTTAGCTTCGGGGTGGTTTTATTAAGGCAAGACTAGTCTTTTTTGAGTTCTACAGCTAGATACCGATTAAGCGAAACTGCAGAGTAAAATGCTTACTTGGATGTTAAAGGCACTCTACTTCTCTTATTTTAAACGCTGCGTACCTTTCTTAGGGTCTCTCCTCCCAGTTTAAGCACGTTTACTTCTAGGAAGCGTTGTTCAGATAACTTAGCACCAACTTTTTTTTTTAGACTTTTTTTTACAAGCTTTTTTTCTTTTCCAATTCCTTGAGTACAACATTTTCTCTAATTTACAGTTTACACTACATAAAAATTACCTAAGGGTCACCTGAGGAACCTCTCCAGCGGCTATCGTAAAGGACATTTCAGCAGAGGAACTTCTCACATCCTTAGTCACATTCAGCTGTAGGAAGAAGGTCCTGTCGATTTCAAGTTTACTTGGATCAACAGTTATGATTGTACGGTTTAAGTCTCCTTCGTTTAGAAAAGAATCGAAGCAAGTGTTGCTTACAGAAGTGTCACTCCGACAGGACCAACTGAAATTGAGCCCGGTATGTATTCCAGGGCCAATGTCTGCGTCGTAACTTAAAGAGCCATTCACAGTGACGTTTTGCTTGGACCCCCACCTTACACTGCTTCCTCCATCAAGAATGGCTCGCAAGGGAGCCGCAATAACCTCGATGAAGCCATAATCAAAGGCGTTGAGAATTTTTGGGGATGCTGGATCTCCGACTGCGAGTGTAGCATTGAATTTGACTTGATAGATACCAGCAGGTAAGGATCGTTTGTTTATCGTCCATTCCGTCGTCCCTTGACCAACTATAGTTCCTAATGCTGACTCCGAGGCAGCTAACTCCATTTCGCTAACCACGCTCCATTCAAAGGTACTTTTCAATACACTTAAATCTTTATTTAGACCATGTATCAGGGCTTCTCGGACACTTTTGACTGAGCGCTGCACAGGTGTGGCCTGATATTTGTCTTTTGAACTGTTTCTAATGGTCACTGAGAAATCTCCTGCGGATAATATAGTGAACGGAATTTTTGCATCATTTTTCCCCCTCAAAGAAAAACAAACGTTTGTAAGATGGGTTTAGTTCCTACTGAATTCACTCATGTTTTACGTCAACAATATGAAATAGCGATAAATTTTCAAGGTTGAGATAAAATCGTGCCTTTTTATGTAGTGCCTCGTGTACAGAGGTTCACAGATGGTAATAACAAATTATCAGCTAGATATTCTTTCACTGTAATTTGACATCATTCTTACCAAAGGGCTCACATGATATCCCATCACCAATGTAGCTTTTTCGGCACTCACAGCTGAATGATCCCGGAGTGTTAAAACAGTAAGCAACTCCATGACAGTTATGAGCTGATATTGCACATTCGTCGATATCTATAGAATCATAGAAACGAGCAGAAATTTCGAGTAGTTTCATTGTTTCAGGTTTCACCAATGAAACTCTTTATCAGTTGCTTTCAACTCATAAAAAATCGCGTCCTTAAACCTAGCAGTGCATTGCCATAGAGAACATAGAAACATCTCTCACCTATACAAGCTGTACCGTTTCCTTCATACCCTGCAATGCATGTACAATAAAAAGATCCAACAGTGTTGTTACAAACAGCCAATGAGTCGCAGTTGTGCACATTTGTAGTACATTCGTCGATATCTAAACGAAAGAAAAAAATAGCTGGGGGTAAAAAAAAAACTCATGAAGCGTTTAAGACACCGGTGGCTATTAAGGTAAAATATACCCGCTCTATGGCAAAAACAGTTCAGTTAAAACAGACTTCTTTAACTATCAAACTTCAAAATAGCGAACTTTCCCTGGTGCTCCTTGTTGTAGAGACCCATGGAATTTAGAAAAGGCAACGTAAAAAATTTATTAAAGTAGCCTTAGTCACCGTATATTTTTAATAACATTTCTCTCGTTTTGCATCATGTGGACAGAAAATCCACCAGATGACCACAACACGAAACGCACGGTCATGTAGTTTTATCTTCACGTGATAATACACATTTCAATGAGTAGTACGTACCTAGACAGCTCACGCCATCTCCTGAGTACCCATTGAGACAAGTGCAGTTATATGAGCCAAACGTGTTGTTACACTGAGCGTTCACGTCACAGTTGTGTTTATGATCCTGGCATTCATCTTCATCTGAGCAGAAATAGTAATTATGGGAACAAAGTCATATCCCATCCTCGAGTAAAATTACCATCAACAGGCTCGTGCAGATTTCAATATGGACATTTAATAAACTTTAAAATATTTACTTGAAATGTGTGAGAAAAGAGAATAAAGATTGCATGTAAATTTAGCATGTACGGATGCCTGTGTATGCATGCAAATATTCAACGAGCTTTCAAATGTATTCATTAATAAGTCATATAATAAAATAAAAAGTTTAGAAAACTAACTGACCATTTCGAATACACTGGACACACGTAAGCATAATTGCATGCCACACACAGCTGTTCTTAGTATGACTCGTTATATTCATCTTTACCTAAGCCGAGATGTTTCACTCTATTTATTTGCTCTGCCGTTAAGGCATAAAACTGCATGGCAGCAATTCTGGCTGTCAAATGACGGGGATCGTCTGCTTTGACACCAACTCTGACGTTATCCTGTGTACCCAGCGTTATGCCGGCCCCGATATTCCTTTTTTACTACTCTCACTCCATTAACCCATACACTTTCCATTCCAGTTATATAGTCGTAAGAAGCACCAATATAATGCCATTTGTGCGTCGCCAAAGGCTGATTGGTCGATAACGAGCCCCATGTATTTAAGTAATCTCTGTTTCTGATATGAACGTAAATAATTCCATTTGGGCCTATCCAAAAATGAACGGCCCAGGCACCCCTTGATTTGTAATTGAAGAAAGCCCCGTCGTATGTATTTTCAGGATACAACCAACATAGCAATGTGATTGAGTGTTTCAAGTCTAATCCCCCATCGTTTGGGAACTCGATGTAGCTGTTCGCATGCCCAGAGAATCGATAAGAGCCACCTATGTCGCCATTCGGACCTATCGCTAAGGATACATCTCCACGAATGCCTTGGGGTTGTTTATTAGTGATCTCCCTTGTTTCAAAGAAACTGTTCAAAGGAAAAATGACTTTTGCTTCTGGGATTTTGGCGGCTGCAAGAAACGTAATTAACGAGTTAGCTTGGTATTTTGCAGATTGTCATTTATCTAAATACAACATTAGCAACTAAAGACTGCTACCTACTAAAGGATTTAATTTATGTCTAAGGGGACGCCACACTTTATCAATACGATACATCTCTCTCTATTATCCATTTTCAGTGCTATATTATATTGTGTGATTCCAGTCATAATAAAGACATACCTTGCACTAAGCCTCGATTAAAATTAACGTTATAAATAGGGCGTAATGTATAAAATTGTGTATTTCTTTTTCATCGATAGTTATAGCTGGGAAGTCAGGTCAATTTGTGTATCACACCAAATCAATTAACATCATCTCCTGAGAATCCCTGAAGACAAGCACCATTGAATGAGCCCATAGTATTATTACATTGCGCCATTTCATGATAATTACGAGTCCGCTTTATATGAGTTCCTACGTGTTTGACTCTTTCTCCTATTTAACTGTCTGTTTGTCTGTCTGTCGAACTAACTTTCCAGTGCAATCTTTTGGCTTATCTGTGTGTTTCGCTATAGGGATAGACAGCTGTTTGTAACATTCTGGTATTTGTTGCACCATTTACGTTTTCCTCACAACCCATGGAAAGGAAAACCCATGAATCCATGTCTTCAACTTGCTATCAAGCTTCCGTGGCTTAATACAAGGAGACCTTCAATCAGTTAATGGAAGATTAAAGCCTCCCATCCGAATCTCACTTAAGGTTACCTGAACAACCGAACAGCTCCACCCTCATTGCTATTCCCTCCTGCCAGTTAACTGGACGAAATCGGATGTAACGTCCTACGATAGGTGGGTTCAGGTCATGATAAACGATTGTCTTCTGGTCATAATTCCCAGCAAAGACCTTGATAAATGAAGCAAAAACAAACAAAAAAAAACAGAAAAGCAAACGAACAATGAAAAGAGGAATAAATGTTTCATTTTCTTAGGGCGATAAAAGTGCAACAATTAGATTGATGGTTAATTGGAATCGAATATTTCCTCGTGCAATTGACAGCACAACTCTGATTTTCCTCCACTAGGTGAACATTTTTTTTTTCATGATTTCGACACATTTCTCAACACTAATTGACTTGGAAAAATGTAAAAAAAAGAAAATCCAGGGTTTTCCTAACACAGTCTAAAGATTTCTTTATGAAAGCTAGTTTCCTCTACGGAAAGGCAGCCTTGCTAATATTGTTATAGACCTTTCTTGTTGTCCCTTGTTCCATGTAATATTGCAGGTAATTTTTTTTATAGCCATACTGTAAATTGTAGCTGGTAACCCACTTAGGCGAAGCATTCATTCCTTGTGTGGCAACTCGTTTCACGATGATATCATTATTTCGCAAATCGATCTGGAGCCACTGGTCGCCATCTTCTTTCAGAGGCAACCAAGTCCCCTCGCTTAATATTAGTCTGCCCTTAGTCGACGCATGATCTGCATTCAGTTCTGAAGAGGCACTAATTTGTCCGTCAGAAATGGCACCGTTTTCTATACCAAGGGGGTCTTGACATTCTTTATATTTCAAGAACATAAACAAAAAGTTATAATTGAGATTAAATCCGCAACTATCTTTCTTACTATAAGAAAGTTAAAACGGGGACGAAAACAAAATTAGAGGGAATTGTATTAGTTTCGAATGAGGATGTTAACGTCAAGGAAGAAAATATAACTATTTGAACAAGAATTTGAATATCTTGTAGGACTAGGCAAGGACTCTTGTAAGAAAAATGGAGATTTTTTTTGTTAGAGTCTTGTGAATTAAAGGAAAGCTTATTATTTAACGCCAACAAGACCATGAGCGTAAAATGGAAAATGCTATAACCTTTTTAAGAAGTTCAGATATTCAAGAAGGCAAAATGAAATAATAGTGCACGATATCTTTCGCCTAAAGGATAAAAGATAAGCGAACTGCAAATCATTTGTTGAACGACCCAAGAACTCTTATAAGCAATTCAAAATTGAACTTCACCTAGACAGCCGTACAACTCTACTCTCATAGATACCCCACCAATCCAACTTGTGGGTTGGAAACGAATGTATCTTGCCCTGATTGGTGGGGAAAGGTCATGATACACAACGGTGTCTTGGTCTGTATTGCCAGAAAAATTCTAGAGAGAGTTGGAAATTAAATCTCATGAGACAAGAGGTTATTTCCATAGGCATTTTTTTTTTTTAGAACATCAGCTTTAATAAGAGTATCTACCCTATTCCTTCGATAAGTTTTCATGTCGTTTTTCTTGTCAGCCCTGAAACTGCTTTCCACCATCCCCAGAAAATGGTATGTACTGATAACATTTCAACACCACGTTGAATTCTGAAGTGGTTTTCCTCCCACACGGTATTTCTTAACAATATCCCCAGTTTGTATGAATTTTATGGAAAACGAAGAACAAGTTATTTCGGATAATTATCAAACCTTGGCCTCGTTATGTCCGCGCTCTTTATAAAAGTAGAAATTTATTCCGTCGTTGCTGTAAGTCAGATGGTACTTGGTTACACTACAATGCCAATTACGGATGTTTCGTCCTTGTGTTGCAACCCTTGTTATTTTAATGTATCGATTATTCAGATCAATCTGCAGCCACTGGTTTTCATCATCTGTGAGAGCCACCCAGCCCCCTGCGTTGTGCTTTGTTTCTTTTACGTGAAGTCTACCATAATGAGCACTTTCTTTGTGACTCCATTGAGAAGAGGCGCTCATTTGGTTGTCGGAGATGGCACCACTTTCTACCCCTTGAGCCTCTGCACACTCTAAATGGTATAAATGCTTTGTGTTGAACACAACTTGCATGGTTGTTTTTCAATTTCTAATTCACGCCAATTTAGCACATGCAATAAAATGGGTTTGGGTAATCAAGTCTTTCGTTTTTTGTTCATTACATGCTATCAGATTGTTACCGGATGAATAAAAAACTGCTCTCTTACATAAATTGCTGTGTTTTATAAGGAATTTCAGACCACAGAGAGCTGTAATTACACACGTATAGAACTGCGGTATTTTTTTACGTGTGTTTTATATCGGCAATCAGCTGTTGACACGTCACTTGCCTTGCACCACTCTGTCAGCTTGATGAAAGAATTGCAAAGCGTTGAGGTCAACGTTTCTCCACAATTAAGAGCTGTGTTTTTTTTAGAGCTGATCACGTGATTTCGAGTGCAATTTGGAATGAATAAGCACCACTTAATTGCACTAGCCCGTACAGCGGGTGCAATTTTGTGGTCTTTGAAAAAATTAACAAGTGCTTATTAATTCCAAATTAGGCGAAAAAAAACCATGTGATTACGTGTTAATGATATACATGAAAAAAAAAAGATAGCTCATCATAATTATGCAGAAGCAAAGCGCGCGCATCAAGTGCAAAAATAATCTATTCAAACCTTCAAGTGACATTGTGCACTCGGTCAAAACAAGTGCGTACGATCAAAACAATGATATACAATGATATTTTCACATCTTTAAGACGCCAAAAAGGGCGCAAAAAAGTTCAAAGTCCGGCTAAACAGTTCAAAGAATTTTTCAGTCTATGTCCGAATCACTTTCGATTAAATGGAATCGTCGTTTGCGAGGTTTAACCATGTTTGTTTTTAATTTCGGCGTAGAATCGCTCGAGTGTTAAGTGTTAAGCTAAGTCGGCTCGTAATTTTCGATCTCCTTCGCAATTCCCTTCTCTAAACACCACTTTTTCCAAACGCAAAACCAAAAGCAGTGCTTTTACAGTGTCTTCGTTGTTAGAGCTGCTTCTCAGCTGCAGTATAGTTGTTGCAGTGGCGACAACAAAGAAAACCAACTTAAAACGCCGGTCATTGTTTCGCTCGCAGATTTTTAGCGTATCCGAATGTTGCGACATTCAAGGCTCGCATTTGATTGGCTATGTAAGAGTTTCTTTGATTATTGACCTATCAGAATGTCTGGTTTGTTACTTCTTTACACTGAATTAACCCTCTTCTGTATTGAATTACCTGAAAACTGAATTTTTCTTAACCAATCAGAACTGAGTAATTTTTCATGTGTATTATCAATATCATAATAACAATAATAATAATAATAATCACAACAATAATAATAATATTGATAATGACAATAATGATTATTAAGATTATTTTCAAAACGTGGTTGTTCGTAGATATGGACTTTTTTCTTTGAATATTCGAAGAGAAAATCGATATCTATGCTTGCGTTTGTATTATTCACTATATAAATTTACAACAATAACTACAAAAAGTAGTGAATGCCGCAAAATCTTTGATACAGATATGAGGTATACTGGAGGCAGAAGAGCCTTAATTTAAGAGATACAATAGTTATTAAAAGCTGAGATCTCAGAAGAGGTTTAGAATTTATTTGCGTCCAAATGCATGTGGTAACTTTAGCTCATGTCAAGAACAACGCCAACCTCAAAAATGTTAAAGTCCCCAGAAGGCTACAGTTTATTTCTCTTTGTAAAAACCCAGATCCAAAACGCAATTCAAGTTAAACAAACTCACTGGTGGTTCCGTAAACTTCGACTCTAAGGCAGATCGATCGTTGCCAAGTAACTGGTAGAAAACGAATGTATCTTGCATAAACCGGAACCTCCAGTGCATGTTGGTCAATTGTGTAGGATCCACCTTCCCTGTGAAATATCTACAACATAATAAGAAAATATAACGCAGTCGTAATTTTTAAAGATTAATTTTTTCAAAAAGAGGATTCAGTAGTGATAAAAATTTTAAACAGCTAAAAGGAACCATTATGGAGTAGCTAATTTCCAATGTTGTCGCAGAAACTGAGTTGCAGAAGATAGATTGACGAACGCGCCCTTTTGATCTGCCGACATGCGATAACGTTTGATAATATTACGTTGGCGACAAGTTACTAGAAATGGTGTCGCCAACAATTGCAAATCTGAACATTATCAACTTGCGAATAACACTGTTTACTGGGACTCTGTGCGATGCAGTTAACCTACAGCAAGAAAAAATTTCAGTGACTTTCTCTAGAAAACTGTTTCCTGACCACGAAAAGAAATGTCAGTCAATACTACCTTCAGCAGTCCTTTTCAGAACTATTCTCACCCGGACGATCAGACGGCACATTAAAACTTTTATTCCTAGGCTTAAACCGATTACTACTGAATCTAATTATAGACCACCATGAAAAGTTAGATGTTCTGGGTTTAAAAGGACATTTTGGCCCAAATCTTACCACTTCTGAGCCATTAGAATCTTTATAAGTTGGCCAAACGTCCTCATAGGATTTAGAGTACGCTAGTTTAAAGTCTATCACCCATTCATTGCCATTGATGTCTCCTTGGGTTGCAACAGCGCACACTTCAGTAACTTTCCCGAGATCGACTTGAAGCCACTGATCTGAATCATTAATTTCGGCGCACCATCCATCTCCTCTGGTACCGTACAGACGTCCATATGATGGTAGGGCGTTGTAACCGTTGCTTTTGTTATGACTTTTTGCCCTCATGAAGCTGTCAAGGATGATACTTGAATCGGAAACTCCAACAGCATTATTGTGGCAGTTATCATGGGTTTCTGCGTTCAAAAAATTTGAATATTCAATTCATCACAGCATTAACCTACCTTAATTTTTTTTTAAGTGTCATGCTTGGATCTCTCGTACGTACTCTGTGAACAGAGTCGGCGAAGAGGACAGCGTTCAAATTTTTTCACATTCTAGAAGCGCTTGAGGATTCTAAATGAAGATAAAATATTTCCAATAGAAATTGGTATTTTTAAAAGAGAAATATGGAAGAATATCAGGCTGCCGGAAGTTTAGTTATTCGAAGACCGTGTCCGGTGAAAATTTTCTTAGTGTCACCCTTGAATCTCTTCGCACTCTGTGCCCAAGGGTTAGCGAAACGGACAACCCTGGAATTTTTTTCACTTTCTAGAAGCGCTTGAGGATTGTAAATGAAGGTAGAATATTTTCCAACGAAAAATTGGTATATTTCAATGAAGAAATGTAAAATGGTTTCCGTGTTTACATAGCCTGATGTAAACACGCGGGAGGTTGGGAGAACACGAGATAAGCGTAGGAAACCACGACGCGAAGCGGAGTGGTTTCCAGCCTATCGAGTGTTCTCCCAACCTCCCAAGTGTTTACATAAGGCTATATAAACACGGAAACCATTTTACATTTCTTTTATAAAATAACTAATGAAAGAGGAACGAAAACCGTGTTTACGTACGCTCATGTAAAATGATTTTATGGCCAATCAGAGAGCGCGGACTATTTTAATTATTTTATGAAGAGAAATATGGAGTTATTTGAGGACCGTGTCCAGCCATGTCATTGAAAAGTTTTTAAGCGTCAAGCGTTTGAATGGCTTCTTACTCTGTATCAGGTCAGGGAAAAACATCAAGTTCGAAATTTTAGGCTACCTGGAAGCGCTTGAGGATTGTAAATAAAGGTAGAACATTTTCATATAAATATTTTTTGGACTTCGAAAAGAAATATGGAAAAATATCGGACTGCCGGACGTTTAATTACTTTAAGTTTAGTCACTTCACTGCGGGAACGTCAGGGACACTGACAGTTTGCATTATACAATTCTTATTTGCTGCTTTGCATGGACAAAAACCTCGACCACTACTACGAGCGCAAGTTGCTCTCCACGGGTAGGAAACTTCAGCTGACTCTTGGTCCTACTTAACAAGGATGGAAAACTTCAATTAAAAAACAATTGATGAATGAATGAAAACGTGGTGGATCAACATTTTCACCTTCTTCGAAATGCTCGCAAGGATTTTCGCGTTCCTCTTTAGTAAGAACCGATCCATAAGGGTTTACTGCCTCGGAATTTACAAAATCAATGGATTCATCTGATTCCATACCGGATTAAAACGTATAGAACTGTTTTAAACAGAATTATTTTAATAAGCTCTTCAAATTCAGCGGAGAAAACGCAGAAGTTATTTTGAGACGTGACAAGGTAAAATTAGCTGAAAAATCCAAGGCGCTATTTAAACAAAAGCGGTGTTTCAAAAAAAAAACAAACGACCGCGCTGCATCAAGGTTGGAAATGGGCCTTTAAATAACAGTTTATCGTGCTCCACAAGGATGTCTTTGGATTACTATGCTTTGAGAAGTTAGTGTACCAACTCTTCTCTCCATATTGACATATTGCAATAATAAACTTTTGTCAGCAGCGTGTCGGTAATGCTTTATATAGCGTGGAATCCCTGCAGGCAATTCTTCGACAATTGTTCCACTAAAAAAAATTGTAGTTGCAATTGCTTGCGATATAACTTCGTAGTAAAATAAGACATCCCTGACTAAAGACGATAGATACCAAGAAAGAAAAATACGTTTACATAGGCTTTAGGAGCATAAGTAACCCATTCTGCGCAACGTTCATTAAGTATCCTAATCTCGAAAAACAAAACCCTTTTTCTAATGAATGTCCTTTAGTACAAAATCATAGGAGAAAAACATACCTCCACTCCCTAAACCTCTGCTAGGTACCAAGATCAAGATTTGTACCTATAGAGAGAGGGATTTTTTGTTGTATAAGTTAAAAAAATACGTTCATCTCTCAGTGTACCAGTCTAAAAAGGAAAACATTCAGATGTCAGGCTGTTTACCTTTAGTAAAAGCAAAGGCCCTTGGGCTTTCATCTCGTCTCTTCTTTACTCTTAACCGAGCAAAAGCATGTTACGAAGACACTGTTTCAGTACACGATCCTAATTATAATTTTTTCGCTGACAGGAAGAATTTCCCCGCTGATATTTCAGTGAAGGGAAGAAAAAACACATTAATTTTTTAACCAGGCTATGACAACGTAAGCGCATATTCTAGCAATAATAATCAAGTAATTGGAGAAGGGAAATTCAGTAATTTTCTTACCGTGCTGCAGGCATGTTTCTTGCCTTAAATATTCGTTCGAATGTTGTGTCGTTACTAAGGAATGAAAATAGTATCATTTATAGAGTGGTAAGAAATATAGAAATACGAATTTTTTTTAGATTAAAGGTAACAGGCAATTTAAATTTTTCTTTTGTCCCATTTGCTGTTATGAAAGAAATTATTGTCTAAATACATTGCTTTCTTTACCTCCTCATGGAGTTTTAACTCTTTTAATTGGTTGAAGTAGCCTGTCTCAGACCAGTGGTCATGGAAAACAAGTGAAATAGCAGGTGAGCGACGCTTAGCGACTTCCTTGACAAGCCAATGTAACCTTGGTACACCCACCTTTTGATTGTCTTTGCTGACTGAGAGCCTGGTACAGGATGTTGATGAGTATGATCGCACATATCAGAGTGTTTAGTTATCCTAAGCTTATCCACCGATTCCACAAGCTTTTCGTCATTTATTCTTTCGATAGAAATTTTTTTTTTTCGGAACTGTTAGCTTGATTATTGATTCTGCTCGTAGTATACGTATTTTAGTCATTGTGTGCATTTGTGAATATGCCGGAACAAGAAGCCTCAATTGTAATATTATTTTACTAAACTACCTAGGCTAAAAACATGATAACTGCAAAAGGTTATTAATTTATGAATAGATAAGCTTTCCTAGACACAGTTATTTTGGATATTCCAACAATGATAAAGGCGGGGGTTCATTAAGACAGTTTTCAATCGATACAATCTTCTCCAAGCAATTCGTTCCCTAACAATAAAAGGGGATTTCCTTCAAAATAAGAATCTTTTATTTGGATCCCCAAAAATAACTGTGTGTGAGTGAGTCTAAATTCCCGTAGCGTTTGAATTACAATAATTAACTAACATGTTCTAGATTATTACAGGGGACTCAATGAGAAGATACAAAAAAGTCAATCCGCACTTTTTTTGTACCCAATCCTTCGAGTCGACTTCACTGAAAAACCGAAACTGCGTTGCTTTCTTAGACTTCTTACAAGAAAGCGCATTAGTATACGCACTCGCCAACCTCATAGAAAACAAAGCATTAGATAGGCTTATATGAAAAAAACATTTAAAAAGTTTGAGAACCATCTTTTTTTTTGCGAACATTGGTTACAACGTACATGTAACTGTGTAAGTATAAGTGAAATATTTTCGATATCAATTTTTTTACTTTATGAATTTGGTCGTTTACAAAACGCTAAGTTTGACTTTCAATCTTTCAAGAAAGATTCGACTGATCCTGTGGATATCGCTGTTTCCATGAATATATTATACCTATAAAATTTTAATACGTTATTCTCTCATACGCGAGAATATATTAGGTTTTTAATTTTGCTGGAGAAAAATAAGCGTGTGGAGGCTGCTTTTGTTTGTTTAACAAATTTTAGGCAATCTCAATAATACCCCTTGTTCATCTTGGAGATGTATAGATATATTCTAACTTATGTGGTGTTAGAAAATTCATAATTTTATGCTCCTTAGCTTATAAGTGTAAATAATGAATTATGGGGGAAAACGGCACACTATTGTTAGGGTATTGTTGATATATCTGGCAGATAATTGAAAATTTGAATCCATAGTAACAAAGTAAATGTCCGCTTTAAATTAACTTAGGATTTTAATTTATATTTTCAACTTTCCAGGGTGATACCTCATAATCTCTTCAATTCCTTTAAAAACTACATCGATCACTGTCATTACCGTTTAACTTTAGCATGGCGATAAAGAATTAAGCGTAGCGTGTTCGCTGATTCCTTTGAGATGGGCAGATAAACAACAAGTGAAGATTTATTTTCAGAGAGCTTAGTTCTTAATAATTTAAATAGGGAAACTTCGGTATTCTTCTATTTTGATAAACAATAGCTGTGGTCACACTACGCACTTTTGCCCTGGGTAAACTTGACTTGTTGACAGTTTTACTTAGGGAAACTTAAATTTAGAAGTGTGGCCGATTTTTCCCCAGGTAAGTTACTCCGGGAAAATTTTATCCATCGGAGCTTGAATATGTCAAGAGAACAATAGAATTTCCCATGACATTTACCCCACGTGTATTAGTCGTGGTAACACTACCCCCTTTACCCATGGCCCACGGGCAAGGACGTTTTTGTGTGTAACCGCTTTCCCCAGACCGAAACTCCCATAGGGTTATTTCCATGGATACATCAAAAAGAACAAAAGAACTTCCCCTGACAGTTCCTGAACTGAAAAATTCGGTTATCTGCTCCCTGAGGCGGCTTGACCAATCATAAAGCAGAATGTAGCTAGTACAGGAAATCGCCTGCAGTGTTTTGAGGTGACCTCCGATGCGCCTTCTTCGGTGTCTTCTCGCAAAAAACTGCTGGACTGTTATATTTATGGAGGACTGTCGTGTAACAGGCAGGAGAATCACTGACATTTAGCTTAATAGATCTCGATTCGTAACATCCATGTTGCTCTGTACTTTTCCTGCAATTTGTCAGGTCAGTGAACTCATATCTAATTATATTTGACCCTGAGGGGAGTCTTTTACTGTGTAACCGCATTCCTAAAGGTAGCATGAAACCTGAGCTTAACCAAACCCAAGCCATTTACCCTCCGTAACGGCCCCAAACCCAAGGTGTGTGTAACCACGGCAATTGAAGGGGTAAACTTAAATCCCAAGGTAGTTAGCCAATAGATGTTCGTCGGCAAATGCGCTGATAACAGATTTGATTTTATCGCGTCACGTTTCACTAGAAGCTTATCGCTGTTCTAGTTTCGACCGGCTGCGGCGAAATATAGTATCTTGTTTGTTATCTTGATAACAGTAGCAACAGCCGTGCAAATGAAATGGAATGTTTCCCTTGTAACCCGAAAGTTTTCTTTCCACCACATGTTCAAAGCATTTGAATTGAGCAAGTTTTCGAACTAGTACTGAGGCCTTGGAACGATGAATTGCTGTCGTTGTTGTCAAAGACGTATATTAAGTAGAAATGTATCTACGCTGGTCGTAGATACATAAAGACAATCTGATTGGTTCTTTACGCGGTCAGTATTTTCCTATCTCTGTCCACGGGCGACGGTAACGCTTTCTTGAGTCGCCGAATACATCCCTACTTTCGTTCTATTTTTCATGAATATATCTCTTTTTTCCGGCTGGGCAGTATTTTAAAGCAAAGAAGTTGGTCACCACCTCAAGCCGATAAATAACTTGTTTATCCTCTCTTTTTTCTCTCTCTCTAATCACTTTGGTTGACAGAAAAAAAATTGGTTCCAAAATGAGTTATTATTAGCAATAGTGTCATTACGTGACAAGTGGCTTAAAAACCGTCTGCAACTAATTTTAATCGTTCACAAAAAGTACCTAGAAAGTTAACACGTGAGGTATTTGGTTACAGGTGAACTAATCGATGGAACTTTCATTTATTTAATATCTGAATTTTCTCAAACAATTTGTTCGTAGTGAAAGAGCGAGCGAAGTTTGAATTTCAGTCCTGCAACAAATATACGCTCTTGGTGAGTCTTTCCAAGTCCGTTCAATTTGGACATTTGTACCGTAAATTGCACAACAGAGACTGCATTAAATCTCCTCTTCTCTCGCTGGAGTGTATCATTCGAATTTAGTTTTTGTAAAGGAAAGACCAGATTTACACACGCCATTGTAGCAAACAAACGAGCAAACTCTCACAACTTTAAATTGAAAATTTTGAATTTACTTACAATTACTTTCCTCAGCGTTTACTTAATGAACAGAGGTAGTTCTTCGTACACGAATTAATCATCGATGACAGTGAATAATACTTTCCGTTTAATAATAGACTGTGAAGAAAACATTGTCGTGACAGTCCTTGCCAAATTAGTTTCGTTGTTTTTCAAAAGAATACATGCGCTTTTTTTTTCTTACGCGCTCCCTAATCTTAAGCGGCAGAAATCGCCAGAAACTACGTCGGATACACAGGGCATGAGTAAGTTTTATTGATTTTACGTCTAAAATATTCATATATTCGAAATATTTATCGTCTTAAATCGACCATATTTCGTTCCCCATACTATTCCTTACAACGTGTTCAAATTTTCAACGGTTCCTCCCGTAACTTAACACCGAGTCACACAACGCGTGACGCGTTCATGAATTAATCGTTGGCTTTTTCTCGAGACGTGAGCTTGGGCCGCCTGTGGTTACACTTACCTTTCCCTCTCCGCCTTTTGCTTTTTCTCGTGCTTCCCCATAAATTATGATTGAATTATCGAGATTTAGAGAAAGAGCAAATCGAATAAACAAATGATATATCAATATTGAAAAAGACACTGAAAATTTTCTGTAATACTGCGGCTTGTGTCCCTCCACGTGCTCTGAGTGACTGGTGCAGTTTTGACCGTTCCTGGCTTTTGTCTGGCTTCCAATTACAACTACGCTTCCACGGCCATCAGGAGAATATTACTTTTTGAATGAATATTTATATTTATTTATTTCAGTCGCGAGTCATAAGTGCCAGAAAGTTCGAAAGAGTCGAAAAGGAAAAGAGTATCAAGTAGTAAGTGTTAAGGTCGATACCTCGACCCTAGGTGCCAGATAAAAGTGGCGCAGTTTCCGGTGCCAAAGCTTAACGTGCGCCCAATTTTCTTAAAAAACCGGCGGGGAAAGCAGGCAAAAGCAAAGCATCCAAGTTGTCAACAGTTAATTTTTTTTTTTCACAGAAATTAACAAAATTCCTCGATTAAAAACAAAATTAAGCGTATCTTTTACAAGGTCACTTTCCAACTGTTGTCATGACAACCAGTAAGTTAATCTCACAGGACGTCCTAGTGGCCATATCATTATTTAGAGGTGTTCCAAAACAATCAAATAGCGACCATATTGATGTTCCAAGCAAATCCTGTGGGATTTGAAAGCTCACTTTGAGCACCGATTGACCACCTGAGTGAACTGCACTCTACAGTGGTTGCATGGATGCGGGTGAAACCGTTAATACGATTTGAAATGGATTTTCAGCAAGTAGATTCTGGATTCCCTTTTCAGTGGGATCCTGGATTCCAAAAGCTGGATTCTGGATTCCAGAGCCCAGTATTCTGGATTCCACAAGCAAAACTTTCCTGGATTCCGGATTACCTTACATGGGGCGACTTTCTATTCTAAAAAGTTCTTGATCATGTGATTTTGCAATTCTTTTTCATAAAAGCCACCTGTCACATTTTCACCCTTTTAACTACTGATCTTTTTAGGTCACTGGCGTTGTTGGCTCTATTGAACTTACAACAAATATTTCTACGGTCCAGTTCGGAGTGTAACCTTTATGAAATACCTTTTTGTTAAATTTACTTAGACGTTCTTTATCACCAATTTTAGATTTAGGTTTTTGTATTTTATCAGGTTTTTTTGAAAAATGAGAATTAAGATATGCAATGTTTAACTTTCTCTTTCTTTTGTGTCTCACTTGGAGTCATTTTAATACTGTTGTGAAAAGTATTATTGTATTTGTGGACAATGTCTTGTGAAATATTAATGTAAGTTGTATCATTGATTACTGTAAATTGCTTGAACCTCAAATGTTTTGGTAATAATATAATAGTCATCACCATCATCATCATCATCATGGTCATCATCATCATCATAATCAGCATCATCATTATCATCATCATCATCATCATATTTATACAGGATAACCCCATTACTGTAATAAGCACTGGTATCAAAGGAGGTCCTGTTCTTAGAGTAAAAAGTAAGTAAAAAAAACTGAGTAAAACTAAAAAAGGTCTAAAAGGTAAAAATTCATTAGGGACTGTCACATGGCCGGAAATATATAAAAAGAAGCATACATCTGCATATAAAACTCATCATCTAATTAGGGAAAAAGTCTTTAGTTTCCCTTGAGAATTTAGTGAGGGATTTCTTTGATTTATTAAAACAAGGAAGCCCGTTAAATTCCATCGCACCAGTACTTTATAGAGATCCATTAGCAACTTCGAGGTTGACTTTGGGAATACGAATGTCATTACAGCGCGTAGTCGAAACTGTGTGTACAGAGGCATTAAAATAAGCATAATTAGTTAGATAAGGTGGTACTGAACCAACAAGCAACATCACAGTAGTCAAAAATAGGTAAAATCAAAAAGGTGTTCAGCTGCAGCCATGGCAATAGAGGTTATAGACTAAAGTTAGCTATAGTTAGCTCCGCCCTTAAACTAAATCAATTCAGACTCGGCGTCGAATTTCTTTGTGCTCCTTATGCTATATATACATATTTGCAAATCCTTTGGTGCTGTTTACTAGTTTTTTTTCTTTCCATTTATTGGAGATTAGATTGATTTCCTTGTCACTGAACCAAGATGTACCCAATGGTTTTGATGTGTTTGTCTCCATTATCTCCTTCGTGCTTTGCCTCGTTCCCACAAGTGTTTGAGTCGTCATCAATCCCACCTGTGCCAAAGCCAATTCTGGAATTACAGGTGTTGCAATCATATCTATCGTTTGCAATGATACCAATTCTTGCTTTGGAATACTCTTCTTTAGCCAAAGCATTAAACCCCTCCTTGTAACATTTTACTTGTAGGGAGGCCTCAGAGCCAATCAGCGACTTCCACGTGTCACGACCCAGTGACGTGTCACGATATTGCCCGTCCGCAATCACAGAGTACAAAGAGCTGGCTTGCTTTCGAATGGTAATGAAACTGAGCAGATTACCGAGCTTCATTCCTAGGCAGATCTTGGAGAAGGACGTGTTCCAGTAGGTCGGTAGCTTGGTCTCTTGTGAATCAAACCCATTCTCCCCTCCTTGAGGATTAAAGTCATCCATGTTACTCCAACGTTGGGAATCATAATGGAAGGTTGGCTAAAAGATGGAAAATTTGAAATAAAATTGATTGATGGTAGAATCCAGAGGCAAATAAGTACTAAAACGAGTGGAATCGATCAAAACGTTTCACGGTAGGAGTGAGGAACGTAATTTATCTATTTCACTCGAGGTTCAAGATGTCTAGCCTGAAAAGTAATGACGATCTCTTTAAGGTAGTTCATGTTTAGGGGGTACAAATGGCAGATAGCTACGGCAATTGTATTGTAAATATCGATTCGAGCGCGTGGTGTGCATGATAATTAGATCAAGAAATGGTTTAACCTTTTGTTGCAAAAACGTTTGATAACTTTTTTCATGGACAATTCACGTCCCAAATGTTTTCTCTAAAGCGAACATCTGGCTTACGAGTAAGAATGACGAGAGACGAGATACCTTTGTGCCGTCGATTTTCATGACCAGCGTCCATCCTCCGCCTCTGCAACCCTCAAGGTCATCAGTCATGTGACAGTAAACATAGATCTTCTTATCACTCACTAGAATTGGGTAAGCTTTATTTTCTTGTGACCTGTGGTAAAGCCGTTTTCTTAGTGTTACGTGTTACTCCGCGTAACTGTTAATTTTCTTCTAAGTGAAAGAATAGCTTTTTTTTTTCTAATTGAGTAAGAAGGCCGGATAGAAAGTATTTGGCGTACGGACCGAGAATTTCATGAAACTTAAGCATATCCATGCAACTCTTCCTTTTATCCTCTTTCTTGCATGAGCTAACAGCGCAGGGCAGTACAGAGTTTTGCGGCCCAACTCACGCTATTGCGCACCGCCTTCATCCGAAGAATTTTTGTCAAATTGTTTTTCAATAAAAATTGTTATTATTACATAATAAAACTTTTTAAGGTCTCCTAGATAGACCTGATAGCAGAGAACTGATTAAAAAATAAACCAAATAATCGACAGCGCGCTCCTCCAGAGAACCTTTTGATAGACTCATTTACACAAGAGAAAATACTTATCTTTAGTCAGTCGTCGATATCATTACTCAATGTGTAGTGTTAGCATTTTTTTACTGTTTGATTTCTATTCTTATAAATACGTTAGATGTTGCAACGGATTTCTCAATGGCTACCACCAGCGCTTTTCCATGAGAAAATTATCTATGCTTCATAGTTAAACACCCCTTGCTAACTGAAGTTAAAGTGCGAGTGACCTGAGTGCGAGGTCTGTACTGTAGGTTATGGACCAAGTATTTATCTAGCGTGGGCCCTTAAATCTGAGTGGGAAAAACGAAAGATAATTAAGAAGGAAGATAATTAAGATACCTCTGAGTGCTAATAGAGTGCGAAGATTTCAATTCAAACAAACCTTTGAATTTAGTAGGCCGTACAGTCAAATACAGCCCGTTAAACTGGCCAATCATAGCGTACGTATTAACTGGGAGATACGATAAGAGGTGTTATCACACACCACAACCTCTGTATTAAAGCAACCTTTCTTCATCGCAATCTTTTTCCTCTATCTCTAAGGTGGCAGAGATGGTGAGTTTTTATCGTAGTATATTATTTTTGTTCTTACACCTCAACTCCAACCAAGCTATCGATAAGAATTATCAATAATGACTTACCCTTGATTTTCTAAAATCTCTTTACAAGAATGAAAAACTAGCCCTATAATCAGATGAAGAACAGAATATCAAAGGTTATGCGCATATTGCAGATTTTATGAATACACAGCCCAATCTGATGATGTGCCTATCCTGATACGCATACTGCTCTGGATATTTAAGATTAGTTCAAAACTGATCAATTCTAACTCAGTAAATGTCAATCGATGTGAGTGACATTTTTTGAATAATGCTGGTTGCTTAAGAAGATCTCTTAGTATTTTTCATTATTTCTTTTTCAGTCTGTAACCAATTACTTAAATCGAAGTTAGGAAGAGCGAGGGGAGGATTAAGGTGGTGAAAAGTGATAACTTTATCGTGTGCAGTGAACAAAATAGATTGTCGTGTATTTGCAAGCTGAAAAGTGGGAAAACACATGATTATTTCGATCAGGCAAAAATTTCAAACGTTATTGGAAATATTTTCTTTTCTTTCGTTTTACAAAGAAATGTAAGACTTTAGTCAAGTTTACCTTTGCAAGTTCGTCCATCTCCAGAGTATCCAGGTTTACACGAACAGGTATAGGATCCCTCGGTATTGATGCACACGGCATTATCACTGCAGCCATGTGATCCCTCAGTACACTCATTGACATCTGAAAATGTTTCTTTATCTTAATTGTCAATAACATATTCAATATTTTTCAACAGTCGATCGAAAAGATAATCATCTAACATTGCCTTCGTCTGCTGAACGAATACGCTCTTAATTTCAGGAAACAATAAACACGGCCTAGAATTAGCTTTTTCATGAAATGTTTCCGGATGAGATCCACTTAATGGGTAGACTCCACATGTTTAGTCTGCGTCTGCTGAAAGACGATTTTTTTTTTTTTTTTTCACGACTCTGGATCGTTCTGTTAGATTTGATCAACCAAATGATATTGGGGTTTACCTTGGTCGCAGTTTTGACCTTTGAATCCAGCAGTACACAAACAGCGAAATCCCTTTTCGGTAAAACCGCTTTGACAAGTGGCGTTGTTCTTGCAATGGTTTTTAACGCATGCGCTCTGAAGCCAAAAAGAAGAAACATGTATCACCATGATGAAAATAAATCGGTTGGCAATTGACTATTTTCAAATTTACCTCTCTAATTTAAATTTATAGGGCTAACGGATAAAACTAAACTAGAAACAAAGGGGTGCTTAGTTTGTTGTGCGGTAATAGTGATGAAATTATAAGGTAACGAAAATGGTAATGATAATAATAATGAGAATGATAGTGATAATTATAATGATAACGATGATGATAATCTTGAGGATGACAAAAATGATATCAATACAAAAGTGCAATAATTGAAAATTTTGCCGTAAGGCAGTTGCTCTTATGAAATGGTAAATTTTTAAATGAAGTGGCAACTACCTCAGCTGCATGGTAAAAATAATTCTCTTCCTTCTTCAACTCGTCTTCATGTCCTTCGTGAGTAGCGTTATTCAGTTCACATTCGTAGTTTCCATTTCCATCCACTAGTTTATTAAGATTAATGCTGACACAGTTGGGTTCCATAAAACACGCGTTTTCACAAAACTCCTTTTTCATAACTTCAACGATCCGAATCACGTGATTTATCAGACGTTTGCCGTTAAATGCTTTTTCAGGCGTAAACTCCAAACTGCGGCATCGGTCTGTGTCAGAGAAGTCTTGGGAATTTTAAAAAATTCATAAATAAACAAAAAGATTAGTAGATATAAAAAAGGTGATGATATTGATAATTTAATACTGTCAGTTTATATTTTGTTGATAAAATACAATGATAATAAAATTATTATAACAAATGTTTATAAGCTCTCTATGTATCATCCGTCTTGATGTTTCACATTCCTCATTTTAACTCATTCATCTGTTTTCCTTCCTCTTCGGTTTATTTTGGCCCCGAGGTGTTTTTTGTTTTATATCTCGGTAACATGGATCTGTCCTGCCACCCGCAGAACACCAATTATTAATACGTCGACGAAACGTGCCTTAGGGTTGGATTGAGCTGCCTACACTAACAGAGAACGTTTGCAGTCTTTATTGCAGTACAGCGTTATTTAAAGACTTCTCGTTCTACGATTAGATTACCATCACTAAGGCTACATATCGACTAAAAGTCAGAAATATGTTTATATTCCTTGAGCATGAAAGCAATCGAGTATTCATCTGAAGAAAAGTTGACTAAATCCAGCTTGAAATACCGGTGCGAGCAAAGATGAGCTGTACGAATAAGGATGAACTAGTCTAAAGTATAAAATATTCATTCTATTCTTAAGAACATAAAATATCAAACAATAAACTCACTAAAAATGGGCTAAAATGGCGAGTAATATAAGTCTAGAGCAAAACAGTCCGAGAAAACACGTATATTACCAGCAGTTTAGCAGCATAAACTGTTGTTTATAATCAATTTTATCACGCACATCTTTCATCTATCCATTCATCGATCCAACTCTAATTTCACCTGTTTGAATACTTGAAAGAAGTGGCATCTAAAAAGTGCGGTTTTACTGTGCTTAGAGTTTCAACGATGAAGGCGAAAAGCTAAAACAGCTCTTTAAACCAACAACAGGCGTTAAACGCCATCTATAACAAGTGAAGAATAATTTTCTCTTGGTAGCCACCGTTTAAAAACTGACCTTGTGACTTGATAGAAGCCGAAAACGGAAGGCATAGGGGCAACAGATGACAGGAAAAAATCGAATTCTTCATATTTCAGATCGCACTCTGAGGCTTGATTCTTAAAAGACATGTAAGCTGTTGTAAAAAGTCCACATCAAAATTTAGTTTGTGATTCCATCTTCCTGACTCTCTTTCAACAAAAGAAACTTGAAAGTTACCTTACTGTTTTCTTCCCAATATAATATATTTTGTCTATGTGCCAGTCCGTAATTAATGCATTGAGTTCACATAACGAAACCATTGAAATGACTTGACATGACGTCCTCACAAGTTGATTGATGATTGATTTCTTCACCAGACAGAAGTAATAGTCTGAAAATTGATTTTTCTAGATTAACCAGGCGAGCAAATGGGAAAAACATCATGCTAATAATTTTCCTTCAAAATTAGAAATACACGAGTGTTATTTTCCCCCTTTTGGCCTGACATTTAACTTCCGCCTAAGACTTACTGCAGTGAAAAACAGTCGACTGCCGAGTGCTAGAGCTCCGTGAAAATGTTTTGTAACTTTTGATTTCTAGTCATGGATTCTCATTATTGTTTGCCTGGATGAAATAGTTAAACATCTACAATAATCGTAAATTCCTACTCATCAGACTAGCCCATGACAAGAATACGCTAAAATCGAAAGTGTTCCAATTTAATTGACGGAATAATCCATCGACTTTTCGTTTGTTTCGTTTTGTTTTGTTTCTGCACCGTTTTCTTATAATCTACTTCTTTTATGCACGGGATAGAACCTATAATGAAATAAATTTTGTTTGGCGTTATCAAAAATAGGTTGATAAGGATGCATCTAAAAAAATAACATTGCGAAAGGTGATTTGTCTTTATCATGGATTGTGCGAGTGGTTTGGTGAGAAGGAGAAGGCAGATTAATAAATAAAACAAAGTAGGATGAGAAGCAGAATTTTACAAGTTTACCTTTCATTTAAAGAAATGTACCCGTCTTTCTAGATTATGGAATCACAAATGCCAAGTTTTGCTCACTTCCCTTTGAATTTTTTCCTAGTGGTCGAACCGTTGTTTGCTGTAGTTCATATTAACATAACGGTATTTGTTCTTGATTTAAAACGCTGCGAAAGGAGATGCTCACTTGCGGTAATTTGACTTTTTTTCCTTTTTTTTTTTTTTTAATTTACTTATTTTGCCACGGTGGAATCACTCGGACCTGTCGATGAGGATAAATCTCCACGAATGCCTTGAGGTTGTTTATTAGTGATCCCCCTTGTTTCTAGCGGAATGGCTGGAGTCATCGTTACAGTGAGCGGTTCGCAACGTACCTAGTGAAAAGTCAACGCCAGTAAAGTGGGAAAAAGTATTAGTTTTATGAATAACACTACATACACCAACGAAGGAGTGCTGACGTGGAGAGCGTATGGAGTTGGTTCCGGTAAATTTTTACCCTGGAGTACTTTCTGTTAACTAAGCAGAAGCTCTCTTCCTCAGCTAATCAAGAATACAGATAATGCCATTTCCAACGTTTCTTTTTAAACCGTCAAAGCTAGACGAAGCGCGAAAAAAAAAAAATTAAAAATAAAAAGACAACAGAATTAACAAAGGCCTAAGCAGGAGAGAATGACAGTGACGACGAAACCTGTGAAAAAGAAAGTGGGCTATTATATTGTCCAGAAGTGGGATGTATCAAGTCCATCCAGCATTTCTCGTCCTTAGGAAAACATCTGTGACTGTATGCCCTGGAACAAGAAACGCTGTACGACAAGGCAAAGACGCAGCTAAACTGGAGCATAGCGGTGATGCCGTTCTGTAAATGAAGACGTAGATGTAACGTTAGGGAATGAAAGTCCAGCGCAACTGATGTGATGGGCTCTGAAGTCAGCGATAGTAACAGAGAGAACCTCACCGATGCTCAGAAAAACTATCTTACTGAAGTATTTCAAGAGAGAGAACACACCAGCAAAAGGCTGATCCTTCTATTATTTCGAAGGCAATGCGAAGAGCTAAGCTCAGCAATGGCTCCAATATCTTTCAAAAGGACGACTTCTTCACAGCAGATAGTAGGATTTTTTTTTTTTTTGCTCAACAGCGAAAAAATTTAACTTTCAGCACTCGCGGTGAAGATTTTGAAGAACATGAGGCAAATGGAGAGAGAGACATCCAAGAGCTTACTGATCGAGGAACTAATTAAAACTTTTGCTCTTCAGCATCCAATCATGTTTGACAAATACAACATCTGTGAAACTAAGTGCCAGTCTTAGCCGTCGAAGTTTCCCATATAGGGATGCCCCGGAAGATTTGTACCGCGCTTGAGCTGGACGTATCTTCCATAACAAGTAAGCGCAAGCAACCCTATAGATATATATAAGAATTAGTTGACAACTGTGGTTGAAAAAGCATGGAAAAAATTTCCAATGCAAACCTTGAATTTCTTGCCTGTCAAAGATCCGCTCCCTGTCGGCAAATCTTACGGATTACTAACGTACTTTGGTAATCCGCTATAGCTGAACAAGGAGGTGTTTCTTAATTTTTAAGCCGTCTATAAGAGGTAGTCATTTACTTCTTAAATTTCTGGCCTTGGAAGGAAAGATTAAGGAGATGAGCCCAACATGGATCACTGCATAGAGCGCTAAATATATATCTAACTAGCAAGGTTCTTTCTTTCAAAAGCCACTGTTTAAAAATATACATTATCAGCACAATTAACTCTCAGGAGAAATGTATAAAAATTTAAAAAATACCATGATTCATTTAATCATGATACATTTAATTATGATCGGGGTTAGATGATTGTTTGCTCCTGTTTCGTGTATTTAAATCTCGACTTTCGTTCCCGAAGCCATCTGTTTCACAGTCCAACGTTCTATTTTTGCTGAGTTGTCGCTTTCAGTAGACCTCACTTTGAATTAATTAGAATTATTCCGCATGGAAACTAGAAACATGTTACTGGAATAACAGTAATCGTAAATTTTTGTTAGCAGCGTCTTTGCAATGCCTTGTAAAGCGTGGAAACCCTGTAGGCAATTCTTCGACGATTGTTCCAGTAAAACACAATTGTAACTGCAAATGCTTATGATACAATTTCATTGTAACACAAAACATCCCCTGAATAAAGACGATAGAAACCAAACAAGAAAAATACATTTCCAAAGGCTTTAGGAGCATAAGTAACCCATTTCGCACAACGTTCATTAACTATCCTAATATCGAAAAAGAAAACCCTCTTTCTAATATGAGAGTGTCCTTTATTACAAAATTACACAAGAAAAACATACCTCCATTCCGTAAACCTCTACTAGTTGCCACGGACAAGATTTGAACCTATAGAGAGAGGGATTTTTTGCTCTGTAGGTTAAAAAGTGGGATTATTTCTCAGTGTACCAGTCTAAAACAGGAAAACATTCAAAAGTCAGGCTGTTTACCTTTAATAAAAGTAAGAGCCTTTGAGGATTCATGTTGCCTCTTCTCTATCCCAAACCGTGCAAAAGCGTAATCATTGTTTCAGTACCTAATCCTCCTAATTGTAGTTTTTTTGCCGATAGGAAAACTTCCCCGCTGAGATTTCAGTGAAGGAAAAAATGACACATTAATTTTTTATCAGATCTGCGCAGTGGCCGTGGAAGCGCATATTCGATAAATTTGAACCAAGTACTTGATTCTAATATTTAGAGTGTCCTTCAGTACAAAATCACACAAAAAAATATACCTTCACTCCCTAAACCTTCGCTAGTTACCCCGATCAAAATTTAAACCTACAGAGAGCGGTTTTTTTTTAAATTTTTGTTCTGTAGGTTAAATAATACGTTTATCTCTAAGATTACCATTCTAAAAAAGGAAACATCAAAGAAGTCAGCCTTCTCACCTTTAGTAAAAGTAAGGGCCTTTGAACATTCATCTTGCGTCGTCTTCATCCCAAACCGAGCAAAAGTATGTTACGCAATCATTGTTACAATACATAATCTTCCTAGTTATGAGTGTTTCTGACAGGAAAACTTTCCCCGCTGAGATTTCAATGAAGGAACAATTATACATCAGTTTTTAATCAGGTTTGCGCGATGGCCATGGAAGCGCATACTTGATAAATTTTAATCAATGTAATTGACTCTCATATTAGAGTGTCCTTTGGTACAAAATCAGACGTGAAAAAAAACACCTTTACTCCCTAAATATCAGCTAGTTACCCCGATCAAGATTTAAACCTTTACAAAGCGGGGTTTTTTTTTAATAAAAGTAAAGGCCTTTGAGCATTCATTTTGTCTCTTCTTTATCCCAAACTGAGCAAAAGCCTGCTACGTAATCAATGTTTCGATGCACAATCCTCTTCATTATAATTGTTTACGGACAGGAAAAATTTCCCCGCTGAGATTTCAGTGAAAAAATACACATTAATTTTTACTCAGGTTTCGCTCTAGCCATGGAAGTTCATATTCGAGAAATATTAATCAAGTTATTGAAGAAGGGAAATTGAGTAATTTTCCTACCTTGCTGCAGCCATGTTTCTTGCCTTAAATATTCGTTCGACGGAATGAAAGTAATATCATTTGTATGATGGTAAGATAGACAAATAGAAATACGAATAAATTTTTAGATTGAAGGTAGCAAGAAACGTAATTTTTTTTTCTCCCATTGTTGTTATTAAACAAAATAATTTCTCAACACATCTCTTTCATTACCTCCTCATGTATTTTTAATTTTTTTAATTGGTTAGAGTAACCTGTTTCAGGCCATTGGTTATGGAAAAAAAGTGAAATAGCGGGTGAGCGACGCTTAGCGATTTCCTTGACAAACCAAGCTAACCTTGGTTTACCCACTTTTTGATTGTCTTGGCTAACTGAGAGCCTGTTACAGGATGCTTATGAATACGATCACACATATTTGAGCGGTTAGGTATCCTACGGCTATCCCGAACTTCAGAAGCTTTTCGTTATTTATTCGTTCGATAGGTTTCTTTTTGGGGAACTGTTTACTTGACTACTGATTTTGCTCGCAGTATAAATATTGTACTCATTTTGCGCCTTTGTGAATATGAACGAGAACCCCCAACTGAAATATTATTTTGCTGAACTACCTAGGCTATGATTACATGGTTACTACAGAGGTTATTAAATTATAAACACATAGGCTTTCCTAGACACAATTGTTTTAGATATTCTGACGATGATAAAGGCTGGGGTTCATTAAGACAGTTTTCAGTCGATACAGTTTTCTGCAAGCAATTCGTTCCCTACAAATGAGACTAACCCAGAGAATTTTTTTTTTTTAACTATTATATCGGAGCTCGCAGCTCCGATATAATAGTTAAAAAGACAAATTAGACAAATTAGACGAAATAGTAGTTACCCATCAAGCCGAAAAAATTGGACTTACGACCGTTCTACCGACCGTACAAGGTGCTACTTTCAGCATGCGCGGCTAACTGCAATAGGGGCACTATCTTAGCCATTTTGAAATGGAAGGGCGAAGGAGAAGGTAATGCGCAGCGTAACTTGGGCACCCATTAGTGTGCGCCGGTAGACACCGGTGGTTGACGATGAAGTGCGCATTGCCGAGTGCCGAGCTTAAGCGCAGCGTACCGCGGGCACACAGTTAGGCATCACACAAGGGCTTCACGTGGGCCAGTAGATGTGAAGCCGCGTAAGCAAATAAAATGCAACCCATGTTTTAAGTGGGAAAACAAATTGGTGAGGTTGTAGTTGAACAATAATTCTCAGTAGTTTGCAATTTCTAATCAACTCGCAAAGCAACAATACCGACAGAGCTAAAACTTTGTAAACCGAAGTAAATTGTTATAATTCAAGTTTGTGGAGAAAGGGTTTTGAGGGAAAATAGGCTGGAAAGAAGGAGACAGAGTGACCAAAGAAAGCAAGACGCAAAAGGCGAAAAGAAAGTCGAGAAAAATGCGCAAGAAAGTTAGAAATGATGCTAAAATAGGCAGAATACGGCGAGAAGAACGCGAAAGAGAAGAAGGAAAGGCATAAGTAAAAAGGCAAATATTTAGTGAAGAGCAACGTGCGAAGGAAATGCAAAGGGCTCTAGAAAACAGACGTAAAAAGGTTCATCAACAAAGAGAAGCTAACTACAAAGAATCCAAGAAAAGAGGTGAGGTAAGTCGTGTTTTATATAGGGTTTTTTTTCTTACGCCAAGGCCCAGAAAAACTCAAACCTCTTTTTAACAATCGTCGTTTGATACTTGCTTCAGTTTGTAGTTCAGATCACGTTTCGGTAAAACGATGACTTTGGCATTCATCGCTTTAAAACTTTCGCGCCAGTTTATCGCTTTGAATAACATTTCAAAGTGTTCGTATCCTTTAAATTATTTCTTTTCTTATCTTTGAAATGTTTAACAGTCGTGGTGTTAAAGGAAAAGAAATTATCTTAGGGAGTATGTTTTGCCTAGAAAGTTTTCAAATGAAAGCTGACGGCGTGAGCAAGTTTCTATCATTCTATCTTCCGTTGACTGTCGCAGGGTTTACTTTTTGCCCATTTAAAAGAATCGCGCTTTGTCGATGATGTGTTGTTTTACCCTAATTACGAAGTAGGAGCCTTTCCCAAAATTGAAGTAAAATGAGACTGAGTAAGCGATATTCATGTTTACGGTAAGTTTGAAGCGGTAATTTGATCTTAACAACATTTTCATTCGAAAACTCGTCAAACAGGTTTGAGAAAGTCACTGCCCGCTAAAACCCTCATTCGTTGCCCACTACATTGCGGGCACTATCTCAGTCATTACGGAATTGAAGGGCGAAGAAAATTATAATGCGCAGTCACCATTGCCTGAATAACTTGGATACCCCATTAGAGTGCGCCAGTAGACACCGCGAGGGCCACACGTGGGTGATAGATGTAAAGCCGCGTAAGCAAATAATTTTGCAACCCGCGTTTTGGGTGTTATAATTCAAATTCCGTGGAGAAGGGGTTTTTGAGTGAAACTAGGCTGGAAAGAAAGAAACTGAGCGACCAAAGCAAGAAGTGAAAGGCGTAAGGCGTCTCGAGAAAAACGCGTAAGAAAGTAGTAAAAGACTCTAAAATGGGCAGAATACAGCGAGAAGAGCCCGAAAGAGAATAAGAAAAGGCACGAGTAAAAAGGAAAATATTTAGCAAAGAGCAACGTGAGAAGGAAATGCAAAGGGCTTTAGAAGACAGACTGAAAAGAGATCATCAACAAAGAGAAGCGAACTACAAAGGATCCGAGAAAGGAAGAGAAGTAAGTCTTGTCTTATCTAGTTTTCTCTAACGCAAAGGTCTAGAAAAATTCAAACCTTTTTTTTTTTTTTTTTACACCAATCATCGTTTGATATCAGCTTCAGTTTATAATTCAAATCACGTTTCGGTAAAACAATGACTTTCGCATACATCGCTTTAAGCCCTAACACCGGTTCATCGCTCGAATAACATTTGATATTGTTCGTACTCCTGAAGCTTTTTCTTGTCCTATCGTTTGGAATCTTTAATACAGACGTGGTGTTATGGAAAATCTTACGGAGTATGTTTTGCCTAGAAAGTTTTTAAATCATACCGAACGGCGTCAGCAAGTTTCTATCATTCTCTCTTCAGTTAACTATTGCAGGGTTTTCCTTATCAAAATCGCGCTTTGTCGAAGATGTATTGTTTTACCCTAAGAAAGAAATGTGGCCTTTCCCAAAATTGAAATAAAATAAGATTGAATCAGCGATGTTTATGTTTACATTAACTCTGACGCAGTAATTTGATTTTGACAATCACTCAGCTAACTCCATTTTACCCATGAGTTTGGGATCACTCAAGGTAGTGTGGATGCATTTCTGTTGGTAGAACTATTGCCAACATTGTATTAAGTAGTGACAAAAATTAATGATTTCCTGTGGGCGAGAATGATTGTTTGGGTGAAGTTATGGGGGTAATTGATCCTCTTTTTGCTGAGATGCATAGGGTTTGATGATTCTAATGTGTATCTTCTAGTTTTCAAAATTGAAATTTTGTATTATTTGGAACTGTTTACCATATGTATTTCTCTGTTCCTCAACCCTCCAAAGTTGAAAGAGGTAAGTCTATTCTCCCCCCTCCCCTCCCCTACCCATACCCCGGACTGGTCCCTAAATCCCCTCGAAGGAACTCTTCTACAGCCAGTGCTGAAGAGTTTTATTACAGTTTCGGCTAAACCTATATTAACATTATTTATGTGTGGATAACACTCCTGTTTCCACCACACTCTAAATCATCGACAAGACCCCTCCACCATTCAATGTTGCCCGTTGGGAGCTAAAGGTTCATGGAATCACAAAAAGTTTTGTTTTGTTTTGCTATGTTTTTATGAGGTGGGGGGGAAGGGAAGGGGGTTTCTGGGGCGAAGAATTTAACTTAAAATCAACATTGAAGTGATAGAGGGTTGAAAAGGCCAACGAGTCAACAATTTTCTCACAGACTGTAGTCGCGGTAAAAACAAAACACCTCTCGTTTGATGCTTTAATCAGTAATCGACAACGAATTAGTGAAATCGATATTTATTAGTCAACGCACGACCTTCATCAGCAAAGTGTTTATAAATGGGATTACCACTTTGCTGTAGCAAGTGGAGTAGAAAAATTTCTTAATGAAGTGATCTTCAACTGGCATTGTTCTCTGTGGCTAATTGGGGCTTATGTTAATAACCTTGATTGATGGGGTTGTGCCACACCTCAGACACTGGGCTAACACTCTTTAGCTGGAGGGTAGTTGAGCGTCAAAACATGACTATGGGGAAAAAGGGCGCAGTTGACTTCGCGAAAACCTGGTGGCTAGGTATTTCGTATAAAGACAGGCACCACCCGCCTTTAAGCCGGCATCAACGTGATGCCCAACTTCAAAGCTCAACCGGAATCGGAAACCACATCAAGAGGGAACGCAATATGGAGCCAATGAACCTCAAAGACCATTTTACCATCTCATCCCTATACAGGAACTTGACTGCTTGACACATGAAAGGCCATATACCGGACATCTTAAGCAAGTAGTCAATACTCAATCAGAGCAAAACTGTTTGTTTAATTAACATGTTTTCCTAATAGTCACATATTTTGTCACTTAAAGTATTTGCCGTCGTGTGCGCATAACTGTAGATCCTTTTATGATGCAAAAACTAAGTTACACTTCTAATCGACTATGACAGTCGACAATGACGAAACCTCGTTCATTTCGTTTGATAATTTTTGTGTCGGAAATATACCCTCAATCCTTACTTATAAGATACAATTACCTAAAAGAAAGACATTTAATAATATCTACGCTTCCAAGAAAAGAAAACTAAGCTAACTTCTAAAATACGACATCTCTGCATTTAGGGAAGATCTTTTGCTTTCTTTTCCGAGTCACGCACCAAAGGATTTATCATTAATAACAAGAGGTCAATTACGTCATTTTCCTCTTTCAAATAATCAGCCTCCATGTATTCTGTTCGCCAAGTGAGAACAGTTAGTCTTTTTTCAACTTTTAGCAATCGTTCCTCTGTACATTGGATAATACTTTCAGAATTTAAACAGAATGGCTCTGCTTCAGAAAGGCACATGTTGGCGAATGTTGTCTCATCGCAAAACAACTTAAACTCAGTCCGATTACTTCCCTCGTGGAAAATGTCCATTAAACGCTCCTCAATAAAACGTGCCATTTCAAGCTCTTTTGCATTTTCCTCTGCGTTTGTTTTTGCGTCACCGTATGATTCGTTGAGGACAGAAACAAGCATATTCATAAGAAATATAGTTGTGGATATACAAAACAAAAACGCAAACGTCGGCCCAATGAAGGGTTTGTCGCTTCGAAGAGCGTCCATTGGGACTGCTTTTCCCAACAGGAATTCGAATTGAGACATGACTGCGTTGAGGTAACTAGAATACTCTAATACCACACCACCAAAAAATTGCATACCTGTTACAACAAATGCATTGAACACGATCAGAAAAAAGAGCACATACGAGAGTTGATAGCCTACGGATTGGCGAAAAGATGAAAACAAGTATATTACGTGTGGGTTAAAACGAATTAGATTCAGTAGCTTGACTGTCACCATAAAAACAGCCATAGCAATAGACGCATTTTCTAGGTTAAGCCAATTTAACGCTGTGTGGAAATGAACAATTTCATATGGATTGGCTTGAATAGATTTGATAGTGTTCAAAATGCTTTTAGCTCTGATCATGTAAAATGCTACAGACGCCACAGAGAAAATAATCATAAAGAAATCCACTATGTTCCAAACAGACTTGAAGAAACCTAGGCGTTGTTGATAAAGGTGAACTAACATAACTATGAAGTAAAAGAGGACCATCGCCATGAACAGAAACTGGCCAATCAAGAAAAACATCAGAGCTCCTGACTCAGTGCTGTACAACTCCAGTGTTTCAATTCTCCTTGTAGTGTAGGCTGCACCAGTAGCTATGGCCTCGTAAAAGTATGTGGCAACACTAATCAAGTTTGTATTGGCATTAAAAACAGCAAACTCTAGAATTATAGCTCGAGTTTGGCGATCAAGCCATCCATTAGTAATAGTCTCGTTGAGGACGCCTTGTGCAGTGCTTTCATCGTATCCCATGACTGCTGCATAACCACCCCCTTCATAAGAGTTGTAAGACGCCAGAATGGGATCGTTGCGAAGTTCTGCTGCTGATTGATACCGCCAAGGCTTAGGGCAAATTTGGAGAGCATTGGGCCACGAAGTATTAAGGGATAGAGGTATCCAACCTGGAAGTCTTAGCAAAGTCGTGTCCTCATTTTCTGGAGAATAGTCGTAATAACATTCTGCTATCATTTTAGAGAGTGATCTGCAGGATTCTTCAAATAAAAAAAAAATTGGAATAAATTACTTTAAGATTTGCATTTTTAATAAATGATGATAAAAAGAAAGAGAGAAGGATAAAAATGCTGGCAGAAGAAAAAAAAAACACGCCAATGAAGTTTCTTGATATCGGGTTAAAAATCTGTGGTTCTAAAAGTGCTTTTGAGTCAAGTCATAAGTAGCGAGTTGAAATGTATCAGCAAACAAGTACATGTTCTTTTATGCCTATGCCTTATTTTCTAGAGCCTGTAGTAGCATAGTTCTATAATTTATTGTGTAAGTTACGAGCCTTTTGATTTCAGATCACTAGACATGCACTTATAGTTATTCGAATTAATTAAGTCACTATGACATTTTCCTATTTCAACAAGCATTTTGCAATTCAATATTAGGGATATTTTTCCCACCAATTTAGAATCTCCATTGTCTATCGTCACTGTAGAAATTGTCTTTGTGATAACCTGTTTGTTTAAGAAAATGATATATTCTGATCTAAGTTTACTTTTTTTAATTCTGAGCTGTCGCAACCAGGGCATTCCCACTAATACCGACATCTTGTTCCCGATATACACATCGTTTTCCTCTTTAAGTCCGTTGTACCACGCCTGATTATAAATGTTTAATATGAATTCGTTCCTTAACCATGCCTCAAATATGTGCGCATCCTTTACCTAAAATAAAGAATAAGAACTTAAGATCCAAGGACCCGTCAAGAAGATAGAATGTGTAACTCGCATGATCGCATGATTATTAAACAAACGAACAAGGAAAGGTAAAGCAATAAATCAAAAGACAGGAACAAAGCGAGAGGGGGAAAGAGACTCGCCGCCAATCTTTAATGCAAATAGCAAACAATGAATAACAAATGAATAAATAAAAAAATTCAAACGCCTATCTCACTCAAAAGCAAACTTAAATATGAAATCCATAGTAACATCGCTATTACATTTTTTCAAAGGTAAAAGTCATTATTTATATTCACCAGAAACCTGCATAAATTAGCCTGCTCACTTGCTATCGCTAGTTGTGGTATTGCGACGGACTTTAATACCTATTTCTCTTTTAAACATCCACCAGTCTGTAATCTTTCACTGATATAAGGATCGATTGCCAGGCGAAATAGCTTTTGAATACTGTCAAATATTTTACAACTGCGGACAAAAATCATTTTTATTCATCGAGAAACATAATCTTACCAGATTAAACTTATTGAATCGATTTCTCGTCTCGGTGGTCATCAGAAAACGATTTCCGTTCTTGTTTCCATAAGATACGATGGCCAGAAGAAACACAAATATTAAATGCAGAATAATGTCTCTTGTCATACTTGTCAACTGCGCTTCTTTTTTAGATCTCTCCCTCATCTTTTCCCGCTGATATTTCTTAAAGCGCTGTTTGGGATCATCGCAGGAAAAATCTATCTCAATTGCGTGTGGATCGGTAGCAGTCTCTTCTTCTTCTTCGCATTTGCCTTTGTTCTTTTGTCAGGAGAAAGGAAATGACGATGACGGCTAACATAACCTTCGTGGGCTGCACAACGAAAATATCTTGTCCATTGGAAATTAGAATAGAAGCAAGCCACTGCTCAGAGGTTTCTTTTCCCCACATTAGACTGTAAAACAGCGTAAATGTTGCTGCTGCCATTGTCGTACAGAAGCAAAGAAACCAGCCCATATAAACAAAAAAATTGGGAAGCAAACAACCGGTGTCCGTTATTTCATCCAAAAGTCGTTGGGCCTCGTCTGTTACTTGGTATTTTTCACTCCTTTTCTTCTTCCGTCTGCTAGACTTAAACAGGAAGGCAATTATTATGTTTATTGGTGCAATGATAATGCCACTTTGTACTCCGATGACTATCTGTTTCCAAGAAAACTTAAAAGGCCCAACTTGTATCGCACCATCGGATTCACCACCAATGTTATAGAACATGGCATTTGCTATCATTGCACTAAACAGAACTGAAAGGCAACATGAAGCTCTTTGCACACGTGTGAAGGTACTGCTACATGCTTTTCCAAACACTGACATCCACAAGTGACTGTCGGCAATTTTTCTGGCGAAGCGCGAACGAACCTGAGCGGAGAAGGCAGAGTAAGATTTGCTGTCCACAGTAACCTCTATTTGGCCGTCGTCTTTTTCCAACGCAAGCCATCTATTTATAGGGAAAACCCACCTTTCTTCGGTCTGACGGTCTTGGATAACTACGGTTTCTACAAACCAAGATGGATTATCACCCGAATTATCGTGATCCAAAGTAATTTCTTTTAAAGGGCCGATGGATTCTTTCAACACGAGCACAAAGCCGTTGATACTCCCACGTCCAAAAAGCTCGCTCCTCTCCCCTTTATCCCTCAATGGAATTTGATTCTGCTCATAATTTTCGCCCTTTATACTGATGGTTATGTTAGCTGTTGTTGCTGAATGTTTCCAAACGCCGGTGCTTATAACCATATCGTAATAATAGGCTCCTTCCTTCACAAGTGGTATCAATTTAGGTGGGCAAATCTAAAAAAAAAAAGCAACAACAACATTCAGAGATCAAAATAATTCAAATTACACGTCTTGCAGGTTAAGATATGATTACCTTGTCTGCATCTCTCTTGTCGGCCCTCCTTGCAAAGATTAAGACAACGAGATACAGAAGGAAAAAACAGGCAATTGTCACAAGTACTGAAATATTGCCACTTTCAGCAAGGTTTGAAAACTCAGTAAAAACTTTGTCGAAGTCAATTGGGTTTGGTGCTTGGATGAAGTTTCCACCAAAAGATGTTAAATGATTGCAGAGACATTTGAGATGGGTGGTGTTCGAGTCTTGGCTTACCTTTAACAAAAAGAAAAGGAATCAATTTAGCGAAAGAATTGAACATTATACTGTGCTTTAGCGCATAGCACACAAGGGATTAGCAGTTTTCGTGTGCGTTAATTATTTATTTTGAATGTCAATAGCAAGTACTATTCATCTTCGAGCAGTCGATGATGCAAAAACGCGGGTCAAGAGTTCGTTTTCCTACCATTATTTGGTATAATGAAAGAATCAGACTACTTTTTTCGTATCTGTTTGATATATATTAAAACAATTATCCACCTCGACTTTTGTAAATTATTGTTTCAAAATTAAACTCAAGCGCGATCTTAATTAAATTAGCAAACTTGAATCCCGAGCTGAATTGGTAAATTGCTTTAGTAATGAATCCTGAGACCCGTTGGCCACAAAAGAGAAGACAAAAAAGCAAACAAGTTGATTAATAGTTTTAATGCTAAATTTATAGCTAATTCGCATCCAAATGTTAAATCTGAAATGTTCATACCAAAAAATCCCTCACGTAGATATGTTAAGAATGACTTATCGGTTGCTATCGTCATTGAAGGGAGGCAACAGTGACAATTGCATGTGGGATTTTACTCGGTAAAGCTTACTTAGCAGCAGAAAATTTATGCAATAATTTATTTTTACCCGGCAACCTTCCGCGGTCCACTTTTCTGTGTTCTCTGACCAATATAAACAACTCGACTGAGTGATGGTCAAAGTGTAGTTAGCGTCTGTGTCTGGATCATATTTCGGAATCACAGAGCTAAGAAATCCTTTTGGTGGTGGATCTTTAACGCCCACACACGACCGTCTCTCGCGACGATTTCCAAAACAGGATCTCCTCTGCCTGGAATGTTGACTTTCATTCTTAGGGCTTTTAAACAATAAGCCCGCGTAGAGGAAGCCTGGCTTAAAAGGGATCACTGTAACCGAGCTATCTCTGATAGAGCAAGTTGCATTAGCATCTGTTTGGTTGTTACATGTTGATGTGAACGCTATTGTAAAATTGTGGTCAAAGTCATTTATCGTCGGTCTTTTTCCAAATTTTATGAACAGACTGAATTGTAATCCTGCTTTGGCTATACCCAACTTAAGAGATATAGGAACATTGGCTAGTTCTGCGTAATAACTTCGAACTGAGATTTCATTTGGCTTAAGAAAGTTATGTTGTGTCCCGTTGGTGGAGTTTTGAGGTGGACTTGAAATGGGAATCAAGATCTCAATGTCATTGTCAAGGTTTGAAACATTTATCTTTTCCGCGCTATTGCTTTTAAGCTCAAGACTCGTGACGCGTGACTTGATTTTCTTGCTGCTATTATCCCAAGTGAAAGGGTTAAAATCAACAGCTTGCATCTGAAAGAGAACACGATTTGGTGTTAGTAATTTTACTGAAGAAGGTTAACTCCAGAAGATTTGCTCGCATACATAAAATTGGTTTAAACAGATTTTGTCATTTTATCATATTAATTAAGTACACGTGGAGACAAGAAAGCGTAATTACAAATTAAGGCAGCGATGACTCGAGTCATTCTCAAGTGAATTCGGATAAGAATGGCATTATACCTTTGCATTTATCTCTCCACCACCTATATTTCCAAGGCTGCTCGGGAGCTTGAATTTACTTGGTCCATCTCCCATGCTGAGTCCTTTTGCATCATTAGCTGTGACCTTTTTCAGCGAAATTGCCAAGTTTGGAGTTTTTAGGACCAGATCTTCTGATGGAACCAAGCGGCCAAAAAATGCATCACTCATGTTGCTCAGTTTTTCTGAGGCCTTCTTCACGAACTGAAAGGAAAGTCAAAGAATGATGTTCGGTCACCTGATGACGTAGTTAATCCGATGACTTTTCCACTTTATTAGACCTCATAAATCTTAGTTCACAATTCTTCTTCGCTGCCTTCATTGGCCTCCCCGTTTTGTACGCTTAATGTAAACCCTATTGCCTAGAATTAATTTATCCTGAATTGATGGCGAAAACGAAATTCCAATAAGAGAATGTATGCAGAAAAGAACTGATCTCCGTGGTAGTCGTATTTGTAACTATAGTTGTGATCTTTACCTCTGGAGAGGGTGGGGTTACTGCCGAGTCTGTGTCGTCCTGACTTGAGCCTGCAGCAGACTTAAGAACATTTGTGAGGCAGCCTGTAACACTTGTAGCTGTTTGTTCTAACTGCGGTGTGGAAGGCTCCTCCGGATCATTAAGGGTGGAAATCATCATATTAGCTGTACTATCAGTCAATTGCATCGTTAATTCCTAGGGAGAATAACACCAATGCGTCATATGCCTCACTGGAATTGAAATTGTACAGAAAGATTGGTGGATTAGATAATTTAGAACATTCGCAAAATTCAAATGCATGTATGTTTTCAAAATACCAATTATGAGTTACTGAAAAATAATAGAGATTTCATTTCTTACGATTCGCCCGGGAGGATAAGCTTGTTGCTTAAATCTGTTACAGATAAAAGTATTTCATATATTTTCGATCAGATGCATCGTGTTCTAGAGACAATCTGTCACTAATGGTTCTCATCTTTGGGTTTCAAGTTGAATTTATGTTGATAAAAGGATTAAAAGAAAAAAAAAGTGGCATACCATATTGTTGTTGTTGCTATTACCGCCACCGTCTGCCTCCACTCCCATGGCCAAGCCTACTACAGACATAACCAAGCGAGACATTTCAAGATTCTCTGGTGTTATAGCTGTAAACTTCGATATCAATGTGTTGGAAATCTAGCAACAAAAAGAAATGGCGCGCATCATTAACAAATCGAAAAGGCTTTGACTGTGCTCTGTTCTGTTGTAAAGCTCGCAGAAAGCGGCTAGAGCACGAAAGAGGTGTAGGGAGAAATTGGAGTTTTAATTGAGTGTTTCTCTCCACTTCTTGAGTGCTCTGGCCACATCCTAATTGCTTTAGAACAGAACAGACCACCGTGAAGTCTTTTCTTTTTTTTTTCATGATGAAAATCCGTTCAAACTCCCCACGCATTTCTTTCAATTTTAAAAGCAAACTTCATTTCCAGAGCGAAAAGAGAGTCGTCAGCATACTGTATACTCCTATAAAGCACGCTACCATAAGCAATCAGAATCCGTGTTAGGATGGTTCAAATGATGTTTAAAAAAAGACAAAAGCTGCCAAAAATATTAAACCATCAAAGTTCACAATATGAAATAGTTTACAACCTTAAATAGATCGGTAGGTCGAATTTAACACTTTTGCTTGAAGTTTTTTAGTCTCTAGTTGTTACGAATGTCGATGTAGAGCAGGGTTGTTCCTAGACAAAACTCAGGATCGTCGGTAACAGCAACAAACTGGTTTATTCCCACGTAGCTGACTTCTCGTCTTTACAGCACTAAGCATCTTCGCAATTTTCTCTCAGTGTTGATGAAACTGTCGCTCTTATATACATAAAGTACAAGGATCTAGAAACTTCTCTAAAGAACTAAATTTAGTAGATTAACACGGTTTCTAAATTTGAATAACTACGTAAGAAATAGAACGTTCCAGAATGTTCTTTTTACCAGAAGGTCACTTCCAGATGACTTCGGGTTCTAGACTGTTCTATAGAATGTTCTAAGACTTCGTTATGACAGTAAGGCTATATTTTTCATCATTCTTGTTTTGTTCTGTGTTGTTTTTAACAGGAAACTTTCTATACTATGCGAGTGTTGACGTGTTTGGTTTTTATTATCGTCCGTAAGCTTACAATCTAATTGAGCATGAAAAACTTAAATACTCGGACTGTCCCATTCGTTTTCTCTTTGAGAATTTTCTTCACTGCTTATGTTATAATAACGTAAATTACGGCGCTTGGCATTTTTACAAACCTTTGTTTTTATCTCCTATTATTACTCGCCGGCTCACTTCCTCCGAAATTTCACCTTCAATTCACGAAAAAAAATAGCTAGACCAAAGTCCGAGAAATGGTCGGACATAGACAATTTGGCAGATGGTGTGACGGCGTGTCAGCCTAAGCAGAGCTCTGTACTTTGTACTCTGATAGAGCACGCTCTCTCAGCCAATGACAGCGCGCGTTATGTTCGAACTTTATCATAAAACGAATAATTGCACATATTTTAAGTGTGCCTTAGGAAATAAAATGAACGAAAATCGGAATGGCTACGTGTTCTAAGAGAAAACATAAAACTTAATTCCGAAAGTTTAAGTGTTGTTGCCGACTGTATTTGAGCAATTTCATTAACTTACCAAAGCTATGTCGTTAGGGTCCAATTCTTGTCCACATTCAGTTTTTTCATTTGCAGACTTGAAAACGGATATACCAAGTTGAACAGCTTGGCTGAGTTCACCCTTGTTGAGATATTCATCTAGCTTGTTACCTTCCCCGACTACAAAACCTTTTAACTTGATTGCAACTTCGTCTGGTGATGAAGCACATGGATCAAGGCCAGATGATGGCCTTACCTGCAAGGGATAAGTGAGATATATCGTAATATTTTCGTAACTGGAATACCTTTTTTCGCGTTTGAGTTAAACTTTTAGCCATTACTGGATCCAAGCGCCGATGAGATAGAACTGGATGAAAAAAGGTTAGCGAGCCCACAGAAAAAATTTACCGTTTTGTAAGAGTTTGTAAACAGCGTTAATAAATCGAATTGGAAAATGCAAAGATTTCAAGTGACGTTTTTATGAATCGCGTAAATAGTTATTTTATTCAAAAACTTCCCCTTAATCAATTGCAGTACCTTGATGAGTAATTTCTCTACAACGGATACTCCAACCGCATTCTTAATAACAATAGTGACTTGTTGGTGGAAATCTTCGTTCGGCGATCCCGCAGGTAACACTGTCGAGACAGACGAGGGTGACGTGCCATAAGATATAGGCTCCTCTCCAAGTGCAAATTCATATGTCAGTGGTAGGCTCGTATCCTGCCAATCGAAGCACTTAAAAGTAAACTCAGTTTCCAGTGAGACGCCTTCAGAAACCGACGGCGCGCAGTAACCATTATGCGGCTCTCCAGCGGTTTCAAAGAGGAGTACAGAAAGCCCGTATGCTCCTTTCAAAGATGTGACTAATAATGTTAGATTATACTTCGATTTGGATTGTAATGAATTTTTCTTGATTATCATATTGGTAGAATTTACAGCAGTTGAAGTCATGTTGGGTAAAATAGGTATATTTTCCCAACTGTCTGAACCGTTAAGGATGGACAGACGCCATTCGTAAATAGATCCATTGCAAGGAGAATTAAGACACTCTGATGTCACCCGAAGCTTGTTTGAAGCAGACACTATCGCACCACAATCTAGAAAGCATCTGGGGAAAAGAAACAAAAAAGGAATAGCAACATACGAAAAGCTGTAAAATCACTAGTAAATGGGACTTAATTAAAAGAACTCCCTCAATTTCAAAAGTGAAAACACAGCTTTTGTAAATTGGCGAGTTATCCTTTCAAACCACCACCTGCTCGTCTTTAATAGAGCAAGTCAGTAATAGTTTCGGGGTAGTTTTATCAAAGCACGATTAGCCTTTTTGAGTTCTACGTACAGCTAAATATAGGTTAGGCGAGACTACAGAGTGAAATAATCATTTAAACGTTAAAAGCACTTTACTTTTACTTCTCTACTTTTTTAGCAGGATTGTCATCTTTACTCTTTCATAGAAACGCTGCATAACTTTCTTAGGGTCTCCCTTTCCAGTTAAAAGAACGTTTACTTCTGGGAAGCTTTGTTTCGATAAGTAAAAGCAAACTTTTTTTTAAATATACATATTTCTGAGAGCTTTCCTTTCCCGATTCCTTGAGTATTACATTTTCTCTAATTACCAGTCAACGGTACAAAGCAATTACCTGAGGGTCACCTGTGGTACCTCTCCTTCAGCTATCTCAAAGGACATTTCGGCATAGGAACTTCTCACATCCTTGGACACTGTCAGCCGTAGGAAGAAGGTCCTATTGATCTCAAGTTTACTTGTATCAATAGAAATGCTTCTATAGTTTAAGTCTCCTTTGTTTTGAAAAGAATCGAAACAAGTGCTGCTTACAGAAGTGTCATTCCGACAGGACCAACTGAAATTGAGCCCGGTATGTATTCCAGGGCCAATATCTGCGTCGTAACTTAAAGAGCCATTCACGGTGACGTTTTGCTTGGACCCCCACCGTACACTGCTTCCTCCATCAAGAATGGCTCGCACGGGGGCTGGAATAACCTCGATGAAGCCATAATCAAAGGCGTTGAGAATTTTTGGGGATGCTGGATCTCCGACTGCAATCGTAGCATTGAATTTGACTTGATAGATACCAGCAGGTATGGATCGTTTGTTTATCGTCCACTCCGTCGTTCCTTGACTAACTTTAGTTCCTGATGCTGACTCCGAGGAAGCTAGCTCCATTTCGCTAACCACACTCCATTCAAAGGTACTTGTCAGTACAGTTAAATCTTTATTTAGACCCTGTATAAGGGCTTCTTGGACACTTTTGACTGAACGATGCACAGGTGTGGCATGATACTTGTCTTTTGAAATGCTTTTAATGGTCACTGAGAAATCTCCTGAGGATGATATAGTTAACAGAGTTTTTCGCATCATTTTTCACCACCAAAGAAAAGAAACGTTTGTAACATCGGTTTAATTCTTGATTAATTTACCTATGTTTTACATCAACTTCAATATTTTAAAATAACACCATGGCTACCATTTCAGCAATCTTTGTTCAAGGTCTAGATAAAATCGTGCATTTTACTTAATGTCTCTTGTCCAGGGTTTTAAAGATAATAAACTGATGATAATAACGAATTTTCGGCTAAATATTATTTCACTGTAATTCGACATGTATCTTACCAACGGGCTCACATGATACCCCATCACCAATGTAGTTTTTTCGACACTCACAGCTGAAGGATCCTGGATTGTTAAAACAGTGAGCAACTCCATGACAGTTATGAGCTGATATTGCACATTCATCGATATCTATAGAATCATAGAAACGAGTGTGAATTTCGCGGAGTTTAATTGTTTGAGGTTCACCAAAAAAGCCTCTTCATCAGTTGCTTTAAACTAAAGAAAAATTGCTTCCTTAAACCTAGCAATGTATGGTCATAATAAATGAGAGGCAACGCCTGATTATGGTACCTGAACATGGAAACATCTCTCACCTACACAAGTTGTGCCATTTCCTTCATACCCTGCAATGCATGTACAGTAAAAAGATCCAACAGTGTTGTTACAAACAGCCAATTGGTCACAGTTGTGCACATTTGTGGTGCATTCGTCGATATCTGAACGAAAGAAGAAAAGAACTGAGAGTGAAAAAAATATTTTTTTTAATGTTAAAGACGCCATTGGTTATCAAGATTAAATGTACCTGCCCTATGACAAAAATATTTCGGCTAAAACAGACTTCTCTAGTAATGATCGTAATTCAAACTAGTGAGTTTCCCCCGGTGCTGTTTGTTGTAGTGATTGGTGAAATGTGGAAAAGGGAACGTAAAAAGTTATCTAAGTAACCTTAGATCGCCGAGTGTTTCAAATAACTCCTTCCTTGTTTTGCATCATATGGACAACCCACTAGATGACCCAAAATATGAGACTCAAGGTCGTGTAGTTTTATATTCACGTGATAATATACATTTCAAAGAGTAGTACGTACCCAGACAGCTCACACCATCTCCTGAGTACCCATATACACAAGTGCAGTTATATGAGCCAAAAGTGTTGTTACAAAGAGCATTCACGTCGCAGTTGTGTTTCTGATCCTGACATTCATCTTCATCTGAGAATAAATAGAAATGGGAAAATGAATATCCATTTCTTGAGTATAATCAACGTCATCATCATCATCATCATCGTCACCACGTATGCTTGTACTTATGGCCTAAAATAAAACTATCTTTATAGCTGTGAAAACAAAATATGAATGGGAGTATCGGCCAAGACAGTGGATCAAAAACAATGACGTTGGAAATCTTGCCGGATTTGATGAAAGCGTTTCACTAGCGATAATTTGTGGTATTTCTAAAATTTGCTTCACCTCTAGCTATTTCCACTTAGTATCTCTGGAAGAAATTCGTCATGGAAAGCAAACCAGGCTCAAAATTAATGACCCGATTTTAAGTCTACCCTACTTGATTTTAAGTTTAATCATTGATTAATTCAGGATAGGGATCCAGCAAGACTGTTTCGCACACAAAGATTGCCAAGCTAAAGAAGTCCAAACTTTATTAGCCTGTTATCAGCTACTTAGATGGCTCTGTTAAGTCTGAGAACACGTTTCTACTTTCTATATTTCCAAACATGCAACGTTAACTATTTTCAATGCTCACCTAAGCCGAAATCTTTTACTCTGTCTATTTGCTCGGCTGTCATTGCACCGTCATAAAACTGTATTGCGGTGATTCTCCCAGTAAGAAATGTGGTATGCCCCTCCACTACACCCACACTGACGTTATCCTGAGTAGCAATAGTGATAACCCCGATATTCTGTTGGGCGACTCTTTCTCCATTCAGCCATAAACTGGTCGTTCCAGTCTTACTGTCATAAGAGGCACCAACATGATGCCATTGGTTTATTTCCAGGGGCTGATTGATTATCACCGACTTTGAGGGCGTGTAATCTCTTTGGTGGAAGTTAGCGAACCATCCATCCGGTTTTGTCCAGATATGAGCACCCCAAACTGGAAGTTTTCCACCATAATGAAGTACTGGCGCGTTTACTGCATTGTCAAGGTACAGCCAAAATAACCATGTAATGGAGTTCGAGATGTCTAATCCTCCCTGAACATTTGGAAACTCAATGTAGCTGTTGGCATTCCCATGAAATTGATAAGAGCCACCTTCGTCAGCATTTGGACCAGTCGTTAAAGATACTTCTCCAGGAAGACCTGGAGGTTGTTTATTGTTCATCTCTCCTGTTTCAAAAAACCTGTTTAAAGGATAAAAGCTCTTGCATCCGGTATACTCACGGCTGCAATCAGAAAAAAAAATAATGAAAGATTAGCATACCCATGGATAGACCTTAATCCGTCCATTTAGTACACAAACTAATAGTGGATTGACTCACATAAAGATATAATTTAAGGTTAAAGCTATGCGTCTCCTAGTAAGCCCCTTTTTATGGCGCTGAGGAAGGTCCTCTTCTTCCACTATCAACACTTCGTTTATCCTAAAACTAGGTCATGGCCACCGCCGACCTTATGTTAGCGTGTTAACGTGCCTAAAATAAATGTATAAGTCCTGTTTTGGTGTAGCAACTGTTTATATTGCCCTTGAGAGCTCTTAAAACGTCTTTATTAGTATTCTGTTAAACAGGCTTCTCTAGAAGGGAAATGACGAGCTTAAATTGTATAAGTTGTGTGAATTGAGGTCATAGGACTCTTAAACCGAGATGAGACTTTTAAATTGTCTGGAAAGCAATAAAACAATTTCAAAAGGTAAATTGTCAATAAAATCAAATCGTATAAACACACAGTACCTATGCAGCCATAAAGCTCTACCCGCAAAGCTACATCAACCGACCAGGCCATCGGTAGAAAACGGATGAAACGTACCGTGATTGGTGAGTGTAAGCCATGATACACAACAGTGTCCTGGTCTGCATTGCCATCAAATTCCTAAATCATTCAGCCATTTGTCAAAGTGTTATGAACAGTGCAGAAATACGTGAATGAATGATTATACAGATAAACTGGAGTATGCACTGCAGCGAGGGTGAGTCTTGCTAACAACTAAAGAAACCTTGAATGTGCTCTGTTCTGTTTTAATGCACTCAGCTTTAATCCAAGAGGCGGCCAGAGCACGAGAGAAATGTAACGGGAAACAAGCAGTCAAGTGTTTCTCCTCACTTCTTCAATGCTTTAGT